CCAGAACTGACCAATATTAGATAAGTATCTGTTCACTTGACCTTCACACCAATTTTTTGATAATAAATGTATTTCTTGGGACAAATTGACTTCCTATAAAGCCTGCAAGGCTTATCAGTTAACAGCTTATCTTCTTGGAATTCTTTCCTGGCTCACTGAATGAATGAATGAATTAAATATCTGACCAGGGAAATACAAACCAGGTCAGCAATCTGTGTGTGCCCTGTACAACAAGAGTTGTTCATTCACAAATAAACAGTTTCATTGATAGTAATAGTTCAACTGATTCAATAAATGTCAAAATCAATTTTCTTTTCCTTGCAAATTTCCTTCTCCAGAGTTCAATGAAGTTAGCATTATCAATTTTGAAAATTCCGAGCATGTTACTGCCAGCAGTTTATACATGAAAATCTATAGAACTATTTTGATCCTATCTTCTAGTCAGCGGATGATTTATGTGTGAAAAAAGCAATAATTGCAGAGAAACAGATTAACTCCAAAATTTGGGCGGCAAATTCTTATGTTAAATGATTAAGTTATCCCTGTTTTACACTTATTTCAAAAATAAATAGTGATGTAAATCTGTTAATAACATTTATGTGCCAGGGAACATTTTAGATAAATACCCATGAACATGGTGTATTGTGTTCATAAGTTTAAGTCAATCAAACCTCAAAGTCATAAATTCACAATAGAACACATCTTACAGAGTTTGTCATTTGGTTTAAATCTGAACAAAAAAAATGACTCTGTCAAGGCTCCCTTTAACAGACCACCTGTTTGGTAAAGAACATCAATTCTTTATTTGTTATAGTCAAGGTTTTTGGGTAACAGGGTTGACTGTATTTAAAACCAACAAGAAACTGAAACAGAGATATCATATAGGATTTACTTCAATCAGTTCTTTTGTTGATATCATCAAAAGTCTTGACAAAGCTTAGAGGGGTTGACTCCATAAAATTAATTTATAATAGCCTTCTCACTTAACTTACCAGTTGAAACAGCCAAGAGCTTAATGAGTCAGGAGCTAAAAGAGCCAAGAGCTCAAAAAGTCAAGAGCTCATATAGCAAAAAGCTAAAATAGTAAAAAGCTCAAAGAGCTAAGAGCTCAAAGAGCCAAAAGCTAAGAGACATGAGCTCAAATAGCCAAGAGCTCAAATATTTAAGAGCTCAAATAGCCAAAAGCTCAAATAGTCAAGAGTTCAAAAAGTCAAGAGCTCAAATGATTGAACACTAACTAAAAGTTTCATGTCAGATCTCATATATCTTTTACAATATAAATAATTCTTGAAGAGAAACAAAAAAAAAATCGTTCTTTTTGCCTATGGCTTAAAAACTGCCCTATTTCCTTACATTTCTTTTTTTATTCAAGCATTTACTAAATACCTTTAAAACCATACACACTTAAAACAATAACTCCCACTTTCATTTTGTTTACCAGAGCATGTTGATTCTGGGGGGAATATTTTGCAGGTAGAAGGATGTAAATGGTGCCAGCAACCCAGCGTGAGGTTTATCTATCAACAATACAAATCTTTCTGCAGACATTAACCCATTACTTCATATACACGCCTTTTAACGCCTTTTTCACCCCCCCCCCCCCTTTTTGTTGTCTCAAATGATGAAAAAATGCCTTATTTAGGCCCCAAACACTTGTTTTTGTTTGAGAAATGTTGTTAAAAAAAAGTGACCTCTTTTTCGGCGCGGCCCCCCAACCAAAAGATACATCAGGGGGTTGCCAGAAGGGGGATGTGCCCCTGTTTGGGGGGGTTTGAAGGGGGGCGGAGTCCCCCTCATCGCCAAGAAAATTTTGGACTTGTGAGAGGCTGTAAATGACCCCAGATTGATCATAAGGTAACGTGTAACCAACGCTGAAAAGCATTTGACTCTATCTCAATCCATTGAGAAGTTGCAGCACTTTGAAATCAATTTTGATGGAAAAAATCAACGCAAAATAGTGATTTTTGGCAATTTTGAGATGTCCCCTCGTTGCCATGGTAACAGAAAATTTAAGCCTGAGCATGTTGTTGCAAGGGCAATGGTCCAGTCAACATTTGTGCCAAGTTTGATTAGTGTTGAAGCAGTTTTTATAGTATTATAGCAATTTGAACTTGTAACGGGAGACTTTTCAATGAAAACAGCCATTTTTCACAAAATGCTCATGAAGCAATGGGTTAAACCACGACTTTGAAATTTACTAGCAAACCTCTCTGAATCTTCTTTAATCAGTATATAAACTTATATGTGTAGTGGTTAAAAATATGAAAGAGAAGATTTTAAAAGCACGATTCACATATAACTGAAAATCTTCAAAACAAGTAGCTCTGCATCTCAGTATGTTTTAGTTCTCATATAAATTTTTTTTAAAAAGTGAACTATCAACATGTATGAAATCAATGTCATAATTTCAAATACAAAATAGAGAAAAACAGAATCCCTAAAGAAAGTCCAACACAACAAAATTGAAAATGTTACAGACCCTATGACCCCAAGCAGATTGATTTTTAATTATGCCACGCCATGTGTTGAATTTAGTACTGTTACATTTTAGCTATAATTAAATTAATATGAATGTGAAAATATTTCAGTAACAGATTCAGTTGCAACTGCAAGGCTGACCTGGTTCTATTTTGTAGGTAAGTCAGGGATAAATTTTGACTTTGGCATCTTAAAAATATCTTCTACTGACTTTGAGACAAATGGACACACCATCAAAAAATATGGAATATAATATAAAGCCATAACGACATAAGTCACATAAACATCCATTTTTACTGTATTTTGAATTTTTTTATTATTTTACAATTATTTTACAATCCATTACAAAAAGGGATCAGCAAGTAATTCTTGTAACAAATATGCTATAAATAATAGATTTTCTTATAACGTCCTGGCAAATTTTTTTGTGCATGTCACAGACAGTACAAGACTCCAATAAGTCTATAACTAGAACAGACTGGTAATTCTGTTCATCAGAAGCTCAATCCCAATGATTGATAATCTAAATTAGGTCGTTATCTCAGACCGGAGTGATGTAAACACTGTCCTAGAGATGACCTAATCTACTTAACGCAACATAAATGTCCTAATGTACATCAGGAAACATCACTTACTATCCTCATCCTTAGACCGGGGACATTTATGTTTGTGTTTTGTATCACGTCTACACAAGTAAGGTCATACTTTACATTTTGAGGCATTCCATACCAAACTAGGCAGGACATGGGTTCTGCATAAAATATTCAACTGTTGGTCTTCAAATGCTTTTACAGGTAGGGAGAAAATACAAAATAAGAATTTTGTTTTTAACATCAACCTGTTTTTCTCATGGTCACAACTCCACCTCCACTTGAACAATGTGAAACAGTGGGATGGACAAATGGCAGAAGACTTTCTGGACTTTATGCAAATATATATAAATCCAAAACTTTAAATGCAATTTTGCCCTCCATGGCAATTTGAAATTACTATTTAACACACATGCAATACCCAAACTTGAACTCAAATTCCAGGTCATTAACACTTGTACTGTTGTGCTTTCAGGCATACATGTAGTTAAAATGCACTTTATGAAGACCAACATATACACTTCAACATATACCCTTCAAGTGAAAGAAAGGTCAGTTTCTAAGATTTTGAAAACTTGACCACTTTGCCAAACAGGCTGTCATAGGAAATGTAATGTATGTCATACTGTAATAGATGATGAATACCACCAACTCATAATGAACATACTGCCTCTAAAGTAGTATTTCAGATTTTTGATGGCCTTTTTTTGGGCCAATTAATTTATATGAGCATGACAACTGACATTAAGCAGTTGTTTCCATAGGAGAATGAGGAATCCAGCTTTTTACAGTAAAAAAACAACAACAATATACTGAGAGACATTCACCAGAGACAGACAGTCTTCCACTTAGGAATTAGTTCTTGCCAAAATTAGTTTATACAACCTTTTCAAAACTGTCAACCTGAGCTGTGCTAATTCCATTGCCATAAAACCAAAAAAACCTTAATGAATTCTTCATATTTATAAATAACCAATGTCAGAAACCACATTCCTATAAACCATAATTATAGTTCATTTACAATAATAATTTAAACTGTGCACGACATCAAAAAATCTTGCAACAGTTATGCCAAACATTTGCCTGACGCAACAAAATAAAACTGACAATTTTTTTTTGCTGATTATTGTATCTATCCTAAACCCCTAGCAACACAAATAACATTTACCATTCTGGTGTGCTACAAAATTCAATGAATACACTATTAAAGATGTATCTTTAAATCTTTATGATTGAACAGACAGAAGACATTGAAATATGATATGCATTTTATTATTTATGTATATTTATATATACATATAAAACCATATCTTATGTACTACAGACTCTTACACTGACAAACATAAAATTATAATTTATTTAAACCATATAATAATGCCATTAAAATTCATAGGCATGAAATTTTACAATTACATTCAATGCAGCATTTAATATATATATATAAAGCTGGTATAGAATATCTTTATATATCTAATACAAAATGTACAACCATTCAACAAAGAATCCATGAAGTATTAAACAGTTCTTTGTTTCAGAATTTATTCCAAACCAATCTAAGCATCTCTCTATACCTCCAGATTCTGTAATAACTTTAAAATTTAAATATTATAACCCTTTAAAATAAAATCCATCAACATTTCCAAAACACTGTACGCTTTTTCAAGGATAGCTGTTCACCTGATTTTAAGTTATGGTCATATGGCACCTTAACATGAAAGATGATTTTGGCTCATCTCCGGTGTTACAAGTTTATATTCACACCAAGGGTCAAAACCAACTCCCCTGCTGGAGCTACAAGATCCGAAGACTCCAGTGATTCGAACCTATTTAGTTGCTTCTTAGGATCACAAATGAAAACACGGATGCTGCAATTCTAATGCCTAAATTTCAGCCACAAGGGGGTTCAGAATGGGTATGTATTTAATGACTTACCCCTAATCATCTTGACAACCTCAGTATGGTTAGAGTTCGTCACCAGCTTCCCATTCACCTGTACACATACAGCATACAAAACATTTTTATACAAAATTAAAACTACTACATACATTTATTTATTTTCAAGAAAAACATTTTTTAACAATATTTTCTTTACTTGAAAACAATAATTGTGAACAAAAAAATCATGACTGTTTCATTCTACTACCTTACCAACTTAATAAAGCCGGAGACAGTTTTCATTTTCTTAGTTAGTGTTACTTTTATCAGAACAGATATCAATCAAAATACTATTACAAGAGCACCGCGTGTGGTGTTAACGCTAGCCAGTTAAAAATTCAAATATAAAAGGGGCACAACTCCAAAAACACTGCTTTCACAATTGTCTACCAACTTCACCTTGTGATGGTAAGTAAGTATTCCAAGTTTTATATTGATAACTTTTAAAATGTTTGAATAATTGGCTTCATTCAAGTTTTTGCATGACTACAATGCAGAAGCAATCGTAATAGCTAGGCTTTCTTGGAGTAAAAATACCTATTTCCTGCATAATTAAGTCGTATTTTGATCATACAGTCTAATATTGCTATTTTTCAATCTGTTCAATATATTATCAATCAAATAGAGTCAGACAGAAACATTTTGATTTCACTAAGAGATACACTTTAATGTACCTCAGTTATATATTTTTTATGTTGTTACCCAGCCGTTTCAACAATGTTATTCATTATCTTGAAGATGCCTTAATATGGTGAAACCAGAAGATTTGTCTTATAATTATTATCATAATACAGTTAATGAATAATTGAATTATTAAAATGTAAATCAGTAAAGGCATTGTCATATATAATATATTAGACTGGTTCTCATGTTGATAGAATATATACCCAATCTTTCATAAGATGGCAGTAAATCTTCTAACAACAAACTACAATGCCTTACAGCCATATGAAAGTAAAATATGTTATAAATAAATATATTGATAGTTCAACACTATAGGGCTGTATGTTAATAGCCTTATAGACTGTGATACAGTCATTTCAACATAAACCCTGTAATATAATATATAAGATAAGTGATGTATGATTGAATGCCAGATTGGTGAAATAGTTACCTTGATAATCTTGTCTCCGACTTGTACCCCAGCCTTCTCTGCTGCACCACCTGCAAGTAAAAACATATAGCGATATCAATAGTTTCAAACATTCAGCAAACTTGCCTACTTTTAATTCCTACATGTAGCTAAAATATACCTCACTAGAACGAAAAAAGTACCTCACTAGGATCAGCAAAATATATCTCACTCACTAGGACCAACAGTCAAAAAATCTTGCCATCTCTTGATTTTTTTTAATAAATCTAAAGAACAGGAGAAGTGACTATGTTGTAGTAATTTCTACAAATAATTGAGGGTAAAATTCTACAAATAACTGAGGAAATAAAGGCTTACTTCAATTAGATGCTATAGTAATGTAATGACTTTATTTCAATTAAGGGCATTTACTTTAACAGTTTTGAGATTGTAAATTTTAAGGGTTCCATTTTATTCTGAAGTCTAAAGCGGGCTTCAAACCCACATCAGTGAATTGCAAGTGAAACATAATCAACAGGCTTAATTAATTACTCAGTAAGACTGCCTAGGGAGTTTCAAAGGTGAATTAACAGAAACAAAGCAATTGCCAAGACTAGAGCAGCATATACATAAAGAATGACCAGACTGTATACCAACAAGGTCAGGCCTATCATTGCCACCACCAGTCCTTGAATAATCCAAGTCATCAAATAGTTAAAATTATTTATACTACAAATCTTTAAAGTTTATTTTACTCATTTCAGTATGTTATCAATGACAGGCAGCCATGTGGTTAATTCATATCAAAAAGTCCATTTGAGCCGCGTCATGACAAAACCAACATTATGGGTTTGCGACCAGCATGCATCCTGACCAGCCTGCGCATCCGCGCAATGATCTGGATCCATTCTAGTCGCAAACCCATTATGTTGGTTTTGTCATGATGCCGCTCATTTTGCTAATTCAAATTAAATTCAAAATTTCTGGACCAAAATCAGTATATAGTATACTTCCTTAATCAAATTTAATTCAATGATAGCCATCAGTAAGCACCCAAATTTCTCATCTACTACATTTACAAAATACTATTTCAACCATTACATTGCGCAAGAATTTCGCAATACAACACATGTAGTTTACATTATTCAACATACATGCTATTTCATAGCCGTTAAGGAATTTACAAACGAGATTTCTGTAAATTAATGCACAATAACAATGCTCATATAGTTTTTAGTTTAATTATTACCCTGCAATGATACAAAAATATCATTTCTGAGATGTTTTAATCTTTACCTGATGTTGATAGTAAACTGAAGTCAAATATTTTACATACTTCAACTATTTGGTATGAAATACAGGCATACCTGTAAAACAAATCCCTCTTTCTTTTTGACGGAGCTCTTTTACAATATCTTATTGAAATTTGCTTTTTGCAAAATAAATACTACAGATTATGAGTATTTTTGTTGACTGACAAATTAATGTCCCTTTTTTCCCCAACATGGCGCAGAATTCCCCTACATTAGGACCCCAGGCCCCAGTCACCTATAAGGTTATTTGGGCCCTGTGATCAGATAATCACCATTATGCTGGAAAACACCATTAAATTGGCATGGTAATATATTCACAATTATTTTGGTATTTTTATGAAATCATTATGCAGACACAGAGCTTCGGAAGTTTGGGAGTCATTTTCTCCTTGATTTTAGCTTATTACTTCCAAAACAGAGTCATTTTTCTTCTTTACCAATATATTGTAACTTCCAGTGCTGGACATTTTGCAGTATTTGACTTCCAAATTTTGGAACAGAAGACCTGTCAGAACATGTTCACATATTCGCCATTATGCTCGTATGTTCACATATTCACCATTTTGCTGGCATGTTTATATAATGACCAGTTTGCTCGCATATTTTGCTTTTATGTTTGTACATTCACCATAATGTTCATAAAATCACCATTTTTCCTGATATGGTCATATAATCATTATTATCTTGGAATGTTTATATAATCACTGTAATGCTATGATAAGTCATATAATCAACATCATGTTGGACTGTTTACATAATCACTTTAATGCTGACATGGTCATATAATCAACATTATGCTGGCATAGTTTTTTTATATATACATAAAAAACAGCTTCATCACAGGGGGATATGCTTTTATGGATATGCCTTAGGGATATACTGCATTAATACAGATATTTATTGATCAACTTTATCAGATGAAACAACCAGGAAATCTATGTAAATTAGTCACCCATTAATATTCATGATTTTTAAGTAGTTCATCATTAGATAGTTTAAGATTTTATCATCATTATGAAACTACAATTGTACAAATTGCTTTCTAATATGCAACAGTAAAAATTATGATTTTAGGAAATTAACAAACTATAATAATTTATGGAATATTAAATTTTCAAAACTGCGATGGCTAAGAACCACAATCTGTATTATTATGTGACAGAAATTCAGGAATCTTGTTTAAACAGATGAAAGATATTCTAGTATATTCTGACTCCTCTTAACCCCTTTACCTACATAATTTTACATAATGGACTTGCCCAGCTTTGAATTTGGAACAGTCCATTATACCAAATGCAAAATTTGAATTACCAAAAGTAACAAGCCTTGTCAGACTACATGGACATGCAGGCTGACCTGGTTCTATACTGGTGGCAAAGTTTAATCACTTCCAGTTCAAGAAGGTTAATGGTAAAGTTCCTATTAAGGTGGTGTGGGTTGACTATGTGCTGATAATTTTCATTTACCAAATCATCTTCAGAATAGGTAGGTACATCCTTGGTAAAATCTTATGACAAATATTATACTATTCAATTATGCTATTAATATATCATCACAAAAATAATCTAGGACAACAGCTGTTTGGTAACCATAATAATACAAACACCAAACCTGTTATTTTGTATTTGCTAATTTTAAAATTATAATGAATTTGCTTAAATAAAAGTTTCACAACACCTGCGCAATCCATCATTTGACACCTGTTTAAATCATGAAAGCAGTTAAAAAGAACAAACAAACAGGGGAGACAACTCACCAGTTTTCACACTTGCCACATAGACAGGATTGTCCCCACTCACTGTCAACCCATACCCTTTTTCATCTTTCTGAATAATGGCAGTCCTCTGAAGCAGTACCGTAGAGTCTGAAAATAATAAAACTCTATTAAAATATTGTCCATTCAGTGTTTACAAATACAAAGATTTTATAACACTGTTTCTAGTACAGTTTGTTTGGGTATGGCACTAAATTGAAACACAATTTCATTATTAACTTGTAATTACTGCAGAGATAAGTATTAGAAAGTCCAGACAGAAAATCAGTCATATGACAATATGAAATTATATGTAAAAATGACAAGAACAATAAATAAACTAATCATGGACTTTTATTACAAAAAGCATAACAGAAAATCCTTTTTTTGTTAAAATATTTATTTTTATCTTGTTCTCATTATATAGTTGATTTATTGTGTTTTAGGTTGTATCAACATTTTTGATGACTTTCCAATTGTACTGGTAGAGGAAGAGCTACGCTTAACTTCTCCTCAATACATTATTTCCGAGAATCAGGGACACAAGAGTAGAACCACTAACCTTCTGTATGCTAGCTTGATAGCTCTTTCAAAAGATAAGATCCCTGGAGGGATTCAAACCAAAAGCAGTGAAAAGCTAATAATTACATAAGAACATGATTATATTTTCCACTGCATTGTAATGTAACTAAATAAGGTAATAACAAGGGTTATATTCCCAACATTACGTAGGCTGACAAAATAAACACCAACGCAAGAAAAATTTACACCTTATACAAACCAAAATGACAAAGGTGAGTGCAGTCACTTTATACCTGATAAGTCAATGACATTTACCTCAAACTCAAAGTTGCCCCAATCTCAATATTTGTCCATTTATTAACTTTTGTTTATGAAACGGACATTTATTTCTCAAACAGAAGAAACTGGTTTTTAACTTTAAGAAGTGAAGGGTATATGATCTGCAGTAAGTGACTATGGCGGCCCTAATGAATTACTAATTACCAAAAATAACCCAAATACAATAAATCATTGTCAAAATCATACAGAGTGTCTTGTGGTCAATTTTTGTATACATTTACATGAATTAAGGAAAAAGATATTTTAGATTACAATAAAATCCATTTCTTTTCGCAGCACTTTCAGTGCTTTATCAGCATAATTATCTTCAGCCAAAATTGTTTTAACCCTTAACCGCATGAGCACATTGTGAAAAATGGCCGTTTTCATTAAAAAGCCTCCAACTGCTATGAAACAATGAAAAATGCTTCAGTACTGATGAAACTTGGCACAAATGTTGACTGGACCATAGCCTCTGTAACAGCATGCTCAATCTTTAATTTCCTGTTACCATGAGGCCATTTTTATTTAGCCTGTCACATGTTCAAAATCTTTTTGGTGATGATGGGGGGCTACCGTCCCCCTTCAAACCCCCCAAACAGAAGGGGGTACATCCCCCTTCTGGCAACATCCTGATGTACCTTTTTGATGGGGGGCAGTGTCGAAAAAGTAATCACTTTTTTTATCAACATTAAAGTGATTAGCATTTGCCAGCCAAGCCTGCACATCCATGAAGTCTGACCAAACTCTACACTGCTGGTAGCTCTATTTTTGTATTTTGATTTTGAAATCGTTAGAATTTTAAATGGACACAAATTACACAAATTCAGCAGGTTAAGGAGTAGAGATAATAGATACTTGACTTACTAGCACTGTCCGTCTGCTCAGACTGATCATCTGCACTCTTCACACTACCAAGGCTGCCCAGCCTGAAATTAAAACAATAATATACCATATAATAATTTAATTATAGTTTTCAACATTGGATGTTTGAACTTAATTTTGGTTTAAAGGGACTCCACTCAGTTTTTTTAATGTGACAAGACCAGAAACATTTTCCCCAAACTTTGTATACCATTTGATGTATGTCTAATAGTATAAAATAATAACTTCTGCACAAATTTTCAATTCATTTCCTCATCCTCATTTTCCAGAATAATTATTCTACTTGTGCAAAATGACACAAAAATGAAAAGCATTGCACTCAAAAAGTGCTAAAAATTGCATTAACTACTAATTTTCAATTTAATTGGGAGTATATTTCTTTCACTATCCTTTGCAGATTTTTACATTTCAAGAGCTCACAAGTCTTGATCTATGTAAAAAAATAATTTTATGTTTTTAGGTCTTTTAGAGCTTGTTTAACCTTTTTATTAATATTTTTCACTTTAATTTATATATGACTTAAAAGATGAATTACTGACAACAATGATTTCTCCTGTTAAAGAAGTAATGTTTATGTAATACTATATGATGATTCATCTCAGTCTGTACTTATAAAATACATGTTGCATCATATCAGAACTATAGCTATTCCTATGTATAAGAACAAAAGCCATTCACTCATTGATTCTAGTATTTTGATGTGGGGGTTCTTTGTAATATACTTAAGGTATATGTAAATCAGAGCTGCCAAATGAAGAAAATCACACTGCTGATTCTCATGAAATATAGTTTTCTTCCAGATGTTTTTTTCCCTTTTTTAAATATTTATGTATATATTCACTATCATTTCATGGCATTGAAAGATTATTATTTTAATTCACTCAATACACTCAAATGAATGCCTTTTGAAGTTTTATATCACATATAGCATGAAATGGTATCAAATTATAATGTTATTTACCATGCAAAATGTCTTTAAAATCAATATGTTGAAATCAAACTTTAATATGTTTTTGATAAAACATTGTATACTAACTGAATTTTTGATGGTGTCTTTAAATACAGATAATAATGATAATTGCTGATGATGATAATGATGACAATTCAGCTTATGATGATGATGATGATGATAATTCATCACAATTATCATTGTCACCAGAATTCAAATTTTTTTTAAATGGGTTAAAAATATCAGAAAACCTTGGAAACCCAGAATTTAGTTATTATTTTAATTGGTGTTCTTTTTTTTTAGAAAAAGAAACCTTTCAAGAGTAGGGAAAAAAACCTGAACTTCAGGCAAATGTCTGAAAACTTTGTATGAAAAATTCTGCAATATAATTATGTAAGGGAACCAGTCTTATGTTGTTTCAGACTTGCTCCTGTTTAAAGTGTCTATGAGTCATACATTAATTATAGAAATTACTCATTCTATATACAGTACAGATCTAGGTCAATGTACAGCATAGTTCACAGATATATTAACATATATTGTACAACTATTATAATTCAGCAGTTAGAAAACTAATCATGTATCATATTGATAGACAGCCTCGGTAACCTCCACGTCAACACTGTTCTGCTGGCAGTAACTAAATAGTCTCTGACTCACAAATCTGTCCGTCTGCTAACAAGGAAATGTGACAATATCTCTTGAAATATTTTCTTTTCTCTTAATCTTATCATTTCTAAACTGGCATTACAAACGCAACATAGCACAAATTTGATGTCTGTTACATTCTTTTCAATCCCTTTAGTGTAACTTTGTTCTTTTTATAGTATTGGACATACTCAAGAAAAAACCAATCAATATAATCTGTAAAAGAATGTAAACACTAAATGATAAGGTACTACAGGCTTTCCATAGTTTCTTGATTTTAATGTTTACAAACTACAAACAGAAACTGATTCCACTAAATACTTTAAGTCAATTCTATTTTTTGTTCCCTATAAACCTGAAGGAATCAAGAGGGATAAGCCCTTGCCACCTGTATACAACTTGGGTTGGATCTGTGCTGCGTGAGTCTGACCAGGCTCTATACTGTTGGCAGCATTTTGTCTTTTGATATTGAAATAAATCTTTAGACTGTTCAAAATTTTAAGCTAGTTAAATCCGATACATAAATACAGCAGCTTAATGGTTAACATGATACACTGATAAAGTCAATGGAATAAACATCTTTCTTAAGCTTTACTTATAAATGGCAGAAAACTGGAAGACTCTCTGTGCATGAATTCAGCCACCCAGCCGGTACCTACTTATATGAACACGCAGAATTCAGTACAGCACTGAGCATAGAATAGTTTTCCTATATACAATGTACGCATTCAAATAATATGTCTAACTTTGGAATATGTGGAACACAAAACGTTCTAGAAAGAATCTTTTTCTCTGACCTTCTCACAGTCATCATGAAAACTGACTAAAATAGTTTTAGTTTTATCCAAACGGAAGAAGTCTTTGAGCGTTTACCTAGAGGAGCTTGTTCTGACAGAACAGGCAGCTTCAAAAACGCTCACATTGTAATAGTCATCATAATGAAACAGCATCCTGTCGATGCTCACACTGGGAAATACATGCTCTTAACTTTGTTTTATGTTTTTGGAAAATGACTCTTGAAAAAAATTAACTTTCTGATAAAAAAAAATTCAAAATTTTCTTGTAGTTTGCAAGAATGCAAACTTATATTTGAACCCTGCTAAAAACAGCCCCTGATGAGTGAAAAATGCCTTTTAATACTGTATGACACTATATTTGGTAAGTAAATAATACTGTATGCACAAACACCCTTGTATAGTAGAATACTTGAATAAATGAATGTGTCTTAGTTTGCATAGATTTTGACAGACAAATTTTATGCAAATGAATTTTCAAATAAGACAGAGTTTTTCTTGCTGCTCTAGTTAACAAAATTAACATAATTTATAAACATAACATTGGCCTAAGTGTCAGCGATAAAATAATGTCTGTGTCTGTCTCCACTGTAACAATATCATAGTATTATTAGTATATCCACTTTCAATAAATACTGAAATGCATTTACAGATTGTATACTTCTATCCAAAAATTGCCATGACTTATAATTCAATCAATGTACGAAATATATTGTGTAAATGTCAAATAACTAGTCAAGAACAATGGTAGATCGTAATTTTTCTATGGTGATAATTAACCTTAATAGCCTCTACATATTCATAAAAATATTACAATATTGTCTGTCAACATGTAATTCAAACACAACTAGCATGTTTCAAAAATGTAAATTATATTTGTGATATAAATTATAATGCGTGGGTACGTATGATTCTGTAAATATATTCCCTACTTTGAATCAGAGAACAATTCACTGTTTGATAACGACACATACAATACAAATATCAAATGGAATGCATATTTCCAGCTTTGATGTTCCATATGACAAAGATTAAATTCATGATTGTCAACTATCAGAGAATAACTTGCAAAAGGCTGTTTTTTCATAACATATGTAATTGTCTGCAGGCCTTTAAATCATTCTCAGGATAACGATGGAGCAGACTGAACACTGCAGCTTTTCATTGGACCTCTTTAATTTTGTGCTGCATAATCATGAACTTATTTTAATAAGAGTGTGTTATTATACAAGATGACAGCTGGACCATACTGACCAGTCCAAAGATAAACCATCTAATCTGAGATCTTACTGACTAGTCCCATGATAAACCAACTAAAACATAGTCCTAATACTGACCAGTCGTAGGATAAACAATTGCATACTGACCAGTCCCATGATAAACCATCTGAATCCCCATACTGACCAGTCCCAGGATAAACTATCTAATATAAGTCCCCATACTGACCAGTCCAAGGATAAACCATCTAATCTGAGACCTTACTGACTAGTCCCATGATAAACCAACTAATATAAGTTCCCATACTGACCAGTCCTAGGATAAACCATCCCATACTGACCAGTCCCATGATAACCCATCTGAATCCCTATACTGACCGGTCCCAGGATAAACCCTCTAATCAGAGTGTTAATTCTTACCAGTCTCATGATAAACAATCCCATACTGACCAGTCCCAGGATAAACCATCTTAGTCCCCAGTCTTTTTCTTGTGGATTAAGAACAATTGAAATGTCATACTTTTTTATTAATTACATCATTTCAAACTGATCTATTAATTGTACATGCACTCAAATAAGCACACACAATCTAGTTTCTTATCATTGTACAACAGTTTTACAACAATTTGGCAAATTATCATATCTTATCAACATAACAACATGGTATCTTCAAATTTAAATTACATTAAATAGTGAAAAAAAACACAAAAAAAAACAACAGTTTCTCTTTCATCTCCTGATAATATATAAATATAGAGTTATCAGAGTTCTCTCTACAAACATCATGTTATATGTCTGCAAACATGTTAATACACCTAAATACATAATTCTCTACAAAACAATGAATATTTTTTTCATTGTGTTATAACACAGAACAATGGGAAGAATAATAATTATGACAAAAGTTTTCCCTTCACCTTAACCATATTACTAAACATGACTTCACATTGTCACTTATCTTCAATAAAAGCTGAGGGGGAAAGTTTAAGTCAATTCGCAATGAACATTGTGATGATTGTGCCTTCTATTAACTTTTTAAATTTTTTGTCCATAATTAATTGAACTTATATTTACATAATGTAACATACCAACAAGTTTATTGTTGTAAAATTGTTAGAATTTGTTCAAACACAATACATGCAGTTAAAAATTTTCATTTAATTCATTAAGATTCCAAACTGTTATCAAGTACTTTTAAGCTGTCCGCTTCCTCAGTTCCTGGAACTTCCAATCAGCACTAGTGTCATCTATAGATAGTCATACTCATGTGTGCTTTGAGTTGAGGCTTAAAAACGCTATTCTTCAGTATAAGTTTAATGTTTTAACTTTCATTAAGAACAAATGTGTTATTTACTTAACAACTAGGACTGATCTCAGAAATGGTTGTTAATTTTACATTATTTTTATCAAATAAGGAAATAAAATAGTGACCTTTAATGGCATGTTTTCTAAATATGGTCTTTATACAAATGAATGTAGTATAGGACTTAATCACATGTTGAACTATCTCTTGCAATAATAAGACTTAAGTGCATGCCAGTTTTAATTGCAGTGCCAATTATATTTTTCTATACTTATTTGCATTCTAACAACATTTAAAAAAAAATTTTAAGACCAGGAATGGAAACACAAGGACCAAATTGCTATATATTATGTAATTTCCCATCTCAAAGCGACCTTGTTTTTGTTGGCTGACTTCATATTACCTAAATTACACACAAGAACTTTTCATTGACCCCTTTAAATTTACAGTAACATGCTTATACTATGGTTTGACCTTTTTTTTCGTTTTCCAGACTGAAAATAAACAAAGTTTGATTTGTTCTCACCTGCGATTTCTGAGTAAGGTGCCAGCATGTGATTGAGATATCTCGGCAAATTTATTACTTATACTTTCCATAATAGGGTTCTCTCTTGGAGAAAAGTTAAATATATCCATTGAACGCCACTTCTTCAAAGGCATATCTCCTGCTTGTAAATCCTTCAACACAGAAAAGAGAAAAACGAATACACTTGAAACAACTCCTCACTTTTTCTCCCTTTCTTTGAACTAAAAACACTTGCAACTAATTTCAACACATTATATAATGCACAGAGAATTATTAAATTTCCAACTTTTTTCACACATATATAAATATATATTCTTTTTTCTCTTCAACACTTGACACACTGACATATATATATACACTATAAGTATAACACAACTATACCTTTTGGTTTAATTTTTTACCTTGTCAAGATACAAGACTAATGGTATAACTAAGAGCCAAGAAAAATCTTAATAATATAACTTTATACTTATGACTGAGAGGATGAAACACAAAAAATGACACTTTAGTATCCTGGTTCACTAAGTGCATACATAAAGTCGCAACAATTATTCAAAAACAAAGCTTATTCAAACACAATATGTTTCTTTTTAACTATAATATATATACATTGCCCATGAAAGATGTCTATATCACAAAATATCTACTAGAAGGAACTGTTCACATAAATGACATGTTTTTGGCTAGAAACAAGCCAACCTGCTGCTACCAATGCTGTCTCAAATTAAAAGATATAGAACACATAACATACTGCTTCTAAATGATGTAACCAACATTATGCCAGAGAAAATCAGAAATAGGTACATCATGTGCAAGCTTTGTGATAGAAGACGAATTTCATTTTTCTTTTAAACTTAAAGGCAATGATAGCAATGGGAGATAAACAGGGCATTCAATTCAAGCATAATTACAGGTCAAGTAAGACAATTATAAGTTTATCTGTAACATCAATGATCCTGTCATGCTGAACAGAGAAACAAACAATATCTCTCTAGTAAACAACTAACAGTACATTCCCAGACATTCCTTTCAGAAAATGTATATTGTATGCCAGGTAAATATAGTATTTTAGCCAATTCCAAAACAAATACAGGCCAAAGTAAAAAGTATTTTTAGACATTTCAATAAAAACCAATTGAGTCTCGTTCTCAATTGAATTATTAAATGTTTAATTTGGGTAAAGACAATTCAGGGGATAAAGGTAAAATTGAAAGCTAAAAGTAGGAGGGAGCATTCTAGACATGCATGTAGCTGATGTAAAAGATTTTTTGAAATTGATAAATGCTTAAAGCATAACATAGATTATTAAAGAATGTTTTCTGGAAAAAATGTATTCCTTAAACTAGGCCAAAAGACAATCTAAAAGGAATGGTGCTGTCCTATTTAAGCACCTCATACATCTTTGGAATTTCCCTCTTCCTAACATAACTAAAGTATGACTTGAATTTCCGCAGTTTAGAGTAAGATAAAGTATTTCAAAACAAAAACAATCATTAAAAGCGACTGTCTTAAAATAAATTTCACATCTGATGTTTTACGTTGAAATGGGAATGCAATTAAACATTTAAACTGTTACAAGTAAACAACTAATTGGAGATAAACAGCTAATATCATTGCTGTAGGGGGATGCATCTTTCATTCTTCTACTTGAAAATAAAAACGCTTTTAATCAGAAATCGAATTTAAATTCAGTTGTAAAAGAAAGTTTCATAAACATCCTAATAGCACAGTTTACATAGATTCAAGTCTCAATTTCCTCTAAGTGAAATCTAACTTTACTATACCAACTTGAAATGAGTCAACAATAAATCCACTTGAAACCTAGCTCGATGACATGGTGGAGATATTTATAATACTATTTTATCATACAAGAAATTGTCAATAACTAATCCGATCAACATTTGATATGACAATCAAAGGAAAGTGTCGTAAATTTCCATATGTAAATGAGACGAAGCAACAGCGCATTAACAAATCTAAATCCTGTCACCATCTTAAATACGTTGATGCAAAACTATTCACAAACAGTCGAAATATCGTCAAACGTTGAGCTTCACTGATTTCAACACATAACATTATGAACGATTATGCAGTACACCTCGGAACATGCACAACACATACACCGTAATTAGACAAACAACTCAACTGAAACCATGTTTATATGACTTGGCAAAACGTTACAAATTGTGCACAAGCTACTAAATGATAAAATCAGCAAACTACACTGTCTAGAAACTGGTAGACAACCTAAACCTGAGCTACTAAATGGACCAAAACAAACTACAGACCTGAGCCAAGCACTTAATTGTACCAAATCTAACATTATAATTACCAAACTGCATAGCTTGAAGAATGAACATTAAGATCCAGTGCAAAATATTAATTACATTACAGATTAAGGTTCTGTCACGTACCATACGCTACATTACATGTATACAACTTTCTATTTATATACATAATTACCACAACATGGAAGGAGTAAACAGTTCACTATTAATGCATTTAATACTTGACCTACCAGCCATTCTGTTCCTTCCTCAAGTCTCTATATTATACACTATATAAAATTAACTTTTCATTTCAGAAAGGAAAAATGACTAGAAAACATTTCCTAAAATGACCAATAAAAGATTTCACTTGACTATATTTTCTGTATTTAAGTGGTATAATTCTGAAGTCAATGATCTACACTGATTTAATCATCTCATGTGGCTTATTTTCTCTATTGTTTCTATCACACTCTGCTACAAAAACATCGACACATTGACCTTTCCATGTATCACAGCTCATTCTCCCCGATTCCCCATCATTGCTTTGTATCCAAGTAGCCAATGAGTTTAACAAACTATGTCAACTAAGATGACGCTCATTATCATTACCAACAACACAGAATAATTTCCTGTATCACTGAACAGCACATCATACAAAACTATCTTTTCACTATTCCTTAACTATTTGTATTAACTCCTCTTGTTATAGCACATGAAAATTGTTATTTTTCTGTCTCCTTATCGTACGTTTGTCACAAGACGTAGTATTTCCAATGTTGTGTTTGTTAAATAAAAACAATTTAATCACAATACTGTGATAACTGTCTACACATTTCCCTTTCAATAACTTGATAGACTGTGTATTTATTTGACATCCTTACCCTTCAAGATAACTACCACTTAAAACTAAAACGGATAAGGTTGTAACACAGTCTACAGCCTAGAGGGGAAAAGACTCACTTTAAAGTCCTGACCTTATAAATGTTTGTGCTTGATTACATTTTTGTAGTATGTGTACATATTCTGCTTGATCACATTCAATACATTTAAGTCAAATTAACCATCGCTGTTGGTTATATTTAGCTATTGAACCAGTAATTAAAGGTAGTTCTCCATAAAATACTCATGACAAATCGTGAAGTTTAGAGAAAATAGTTAGATCTCAATAAAATAGTCCGCAAATATCAATTAATTTCCCTGATTATATACTTTCCCTGGGTAACAATATCACTTAATATCAAAGTACTTTCTGTAACTGTTAACATCTTTTCTAATTTAAGTGAAATATCTACATGTAATTATGAAATGCCATAATTGATATAAGGAAAGTTTTGTTACATGGAACATAACATCAGAATACCAATTAAAACATTTTGTAATTCCTTTCACAAGGATAAAATTTTCATTCCACAAAGAAAAGGGTGTATCCTACATGTACACTTCTATAGAACAATGGCAATGCAAATCATATATATATTTCATTTAAAGCAGCTTTTTTATTCAGCTTGGTAATTAATTTCCATAATTAAAGTAATTATTCAACACATTTACATATCTATTCATTAACACAAAGACAGTCTTTAATATGTACAATCATTCAAAGGTCATATTGTGTAAAGTGTACATGTACACAGTATTTCTAGGCTGGTATAGGTCAATTCTACTCACTGCATATTAGCACACACTCATAGAATATAAACCCTTTACATGCCGCTTTATCACATCTTTTTTAGTGTATTTATAATAACCCTGTCACAAAATTCTTAATCCAAAGACATTTCAATAAAACATTTCTTCAATATACATGTATTAGAAAACAAAAATCTTATCAATTTTTCATCGACTTTTGTACACTTATTGACTATCACAAAGTACAAAATTCCCATAGAGAATGTTAGAAAGATCCCTACATAAACACATGTTAACATATCAAATTTCACCTTTTTCCTTTGCTACTGCTTCCCAGCATCATTTTTATTGAGAAACAATTAAGGGAACCAGCTTCATGTACAGCACCTACAGCAAATGATGGGTTGAGAAAAATGCTTTGACATTGGTTTATGTTTTTTCCACATCAATTAGATTAATTGAATTAATTTGGTTTTAATGGTAACACATATAACACTATGTGTCATTTATTAAGCAAAGATGGAGATTAATATTTATAATATTTACATATTTTATTTCTCAATTCTCTTCAAAAGCATGTAAATTATCCTATATTCTCCGGATACAGAATACAGTAAAATCAGGTAATTGTTACAATCAAAACTGATTAAAATTTCACTGAATGAGCCATTGCAGAACTGTATATAGAAATTCCAGTCTATAACACAGTAGTTAAAAATAATTAATGTACTCCAAGGGAGGTAATCTTTAATAAATATCACAACTTACTTCTTACAGAGTTACCTCTGACAAAAAAGTGAATGAATGAGATAGTTAACAATACAGCAAAAAATCTGTCATTACAAATGCCATCCAATCTGCTTACAACTTAAGAGTTATCCTATGTTTTGTATCGCAATTTATCATTAAAATCCTATCATAGCCAATGTCATGATCCAAAAGAAAGATAAAAATAACTTCACTCAAAAATAAGTCGGATAGTGTGACGTTGTCAAGGTAGATACTTTATAGCATGGATTTATTAATTCAAATGTCAACAATACTTGTAAAAAAAAATTCAAAATGATTTACAAAAATAAATTATCAAAACAATGCTACAAAAAGAGACTTGAAACTTTACATGCTGATTGTAAATTACTGATACTAGTTTCCTCTACTGCTTTATCTTCTGCTACATGTATACATGTATATATAACATATACCAAGTAAGCTGTAGTAATTTACAATGCTTACATTGAAATGCAATAATTCTTTTGGCATAAATATTCTGTACAGATAATAGATAATGCACAAACACGTCATACATGTAGTCTATATCATTCACTTTCCCATTATTATTAACAAGAATTCATTTCCCAGTGTTATGTGAAATATATATTACATGTTATATAAATATTGCAGAATATACATACAGGATAATATTATAAATAGAATATATGTGTCATGTATCAGCTGTTCTCTTGATTATTAAAGGTATAAAACAATAAATGGCAACATATTATGATACATGTATACTTTAAAAAAAATAAATAATAAAAAAATATACAATCACATACGATGATAGTCTTCGTATATATATTTTGTCTATCATAATTATGTGCATACTATAGAGATGAACAAAAGCAATGACTGTAGCACATGAATATATATAACAAAACAGAAAAAAGTATGTTCACAAAAAAAAAAAGAATTAAACTACTGTTTTTCCTAGGCCGTATTTTGATTTGATTCGTTGTCACTATTTTCGTGAAAATATCTTTTTTTAATATTAAACAAAAGTTTTCTTTTCACTGGTTAAGCACTCTTGCTTATCCAATCAAAACGCAGCACTTAAAAAATGGAAGGCAAACAACAAATTGTAGACAGTCTTGTGTCATTAAAATTGGGTGTCTTTCAATGTAGCTAAATATTGTTTTTTTAAGTATTTCCTACACAACATAGCCTGAGTTACAAATCAAAATTAATCAAATAGCAAAGCACAAACATAAAATCAAATCAAATCTAGTGAAAGCTCTCTCTTGCACCTTTATGACAAATGTATAATTAATTAAATAGTAGAACTTCAGTTTCCTTTAAATGTGGGCTCTATGTGTCCTCTAAACTCACATATCATTAATATCCTTCAATGAATTCATGAGGCATGAAGTGGACAGTTATTCTATGACATTGAACACTGGATAAGTTTCAAGAACATATTTCAATTGGTTCAGGAGCAGATAAGAATTCTATAGATCAGAGACGTATGACCTTGACCTTAAACTAAAGTAGTGTCAGAAGATATATACCTGGTAGTCATATAAAATAGTTCATTCTCTAAATCACAGGAGCAACTTGCATGACTAATTTTCAACAAATCTAAAAAAGAAATGTTTATTATTCACAGAATAATTTTTAAAAAAATACTGAATTATTTATTGAAGACATTGAAGAATCAAAACTTTGATGTACGGTATTTCTTTAAAATTCAATGTTAGACAAATGTAAATATGTTTCTTTGGTGGTGGTGGTGGTACTTTTCACTCCAGATCACGAAAGCCAGCCACACTGAATTTACCAGAGCACAGTTCAGCCACTGCAACATTCCTGGGCATGCCATCAAACAGTTTACCAGCACTGGTTGCATATACTTTCTTAACGAACTTCTGTACATGCCAGAGCAGAGGTACAGTGAGATGACCGTAGAATGGATTTCATGTTCAATTACACGGAACCGACCTGCACTTTCCGAGAATCGAACTCTGGTCGCCTGATTAACAGTCCAATGCCCTACCTTTGAGCTAACTGGACCGCTCATTTTCATTATCAATATAACTTTAGCTATGATATAGATGAACCAATTATCACATTGTTTTACCTTTATTTAAGATTTCTATTTAATATATTTATAGAATAAGATTTTGCATTTTTTCGTAAATAATCATTTTTTCTAAAATTAATTTAATTACTTTTGCACAATGTGTTTATGTAAGGAAAGTCTATCTTTTGTATTTTCTCATATGTCTATGAAATCAGAAAATTAACGCAATGAGCACACAGCCATGGTATAATGACTTCATCATTAGTATCAAAAGAAGGGGCAAAAAATATCTTGTAATCCAGTGATGGATGAAAATGTAAAAAAACATTCAGTAACGTAAAAGCTCCGTGCGGTGGCATTAAATATTTTTAGAGCTGCTTATCCCCTGTTATCAAAGTTTCTGTTGACATATATTCGTCAAAATGTAGCAACATCCTGCCAATGCATATAACATTCATCTGTAAAAATTTGCAAGTGTAAGAACTAAGATCAAGTCACTTGCAATTTTCAAAATTCACCTGTATGCAACCCGAATTTGAATCCTGATTGGTGGTATTTTTAATATTTAATGACATCTTTGGAAAGCAGGTTTAATTTAAATAAAGATGACCACACCTACACTGTAAACATGCATCTACTATTTAGAAGTGGTGTGTCCATAATAAGCTAACTTGTTAAATCATGCTGAAAGCATTGTTATAATTTGAAAATATCATTTACCAGAAATACTTTTTTATCAAGTCTATGTCTATTTTATTGTCAAAGATTTCAAAAGTAACAGATAAATCAACATGTAAAACATTAAACAACTTAATATTTTGAATTTGTCATTGTTTCATAACTTCTCTCTTATAGAAGAATAACATTTATTTATCACTTAAACTACAAGTTTCTCGTGATAAGAGATTTTACTGTTAAATCATTTTAATATTACTTTTGGCATGTCATTTTCTTAAAATGTATGTGAAGTTCAAAATAATAAACTTTATAAACCCAATAAGTCTAATGTTGCGCTAAATTTAGATAATCCTGCAAGTCTAACATTGCAATAAAATTAGATAATAAGCAATTAAAGTGTACCCTTGGAATTCTATTCTTGTACAAAATCCACAATTTATATGTGATACATAGACTATCCAGAAATACTTTTTTATCAAGTCTATGTCTATTTTATTGTCAAAGATTTCAAAAGTAACAGATAAATCAACATGTAAAACATTAAACAACTTAATATTTTGAATTTGTCATTGTTTCATAACTTCCCTCTTATAGAAGAATAACGTTTATTTATCACTTAAACTACAAGTTTCTCGTGATAAGAGATTTTACTGTTCAATTATTTTAATATTACTTTTGGCATGTCATTTTCTTAAAATGTATGTGAAGTTCAAAATAATAAACTTTATAAACCCAATAAGTCTAATGTTGCGATAAATTTAGATAATCCTGCAAGTCTAACGTTGCGATAAAGTTAGATAATAAGCAATTAAAGTGTACCCTTGGAATTCTATTCTTGTACAAAATCCACAATTTATATTTGATACATAGACTATCAGAGCTCTCCCTAAGTCCCTCTTTTTCAAAGGAAATTAATACACTTTTAATGTTTTTGGGAAACAGTACCTGAACCTGAACATGTGGAAATTCTTAACTGTCTGTTACCAATTTACCTAGTCCAACTGATTGTAGCCCGGGGTTCTATGATATCAAGGTACTTAACGTTAATCGGAAAATATTTAAATATAAATATCATAAGAGAGTGAGATTTTTCGTCCATCTTATCAGTGAACCTTTTCCAGAACTGTTTGTCAAAAACTTATTTCAAAAGAACCAATAAAAATGAAATTTTTTAGAATATTTTCAATGTCTGCCATTTTGGGTAATTTCAGAGGAGGTTACTACGGTATCAAGGTAATCCCCAAAAAAGCAAGTATGGAAGGATAGATGAGTCAAAACTTTCAAGTTAAGTTGTGAAAAACTTCCAACAGTTAACTTGCTGTTAAATTAAAACTATATGAACAGACTATATGTCAGTATATGTGTTTATAACATATTTTAATTGACTGTGTAAAAACCATTAAGGAAAATGGTAGTCAAATATAAAGGTTTTATAAAATAGGGTTCTTGCCGTTAATACATTCATTATTCATCAAATTAAATTCATTGGCAGATGAAAATGAATCTAGTGTGCAAGTTTTACAAATATTAGCATCATCATGTGTTTCTTTTACTAGCAGTCACAGAAAATTTAAATACCTTGATATCATAGAACCCTTGATACCATAGGAACCGAGTATACTGCGCGACAAGATATTGTGCTATTTCCGTGTCTGGGCAATATCTCGCCTCTAAAATAAAGGCGAGATTCTGCCCAAGAACGAAAATATCTCAGAATCAAGCTTTGGCATGTCAATATATTTTGACTACCAATTTACCATATTGTTTTAGACATTGAAAAATACATTTGAAGAAAAAAAAAAAAACAACAAAAACATTAGGAAGTAACATTTGTGGAGCATGTAGTGTTGGCAACTTACATTTGCAATGTTTTGTGATAGTAACACACAAACTTGACTGTCATATATAAGGGGTTTTATAGAGATAGATAGATTCTAAGATAGAACAATTGTTCAAAATGCATCTTTACAGCATGTACACATTTTTAAGTATATAGCAGACAGGAGCAAGTTTTTAATTTCATTCAATGCATGATAGGAATGAGAAAGAGATTTTGTCAATAATATTCGACAAGAAATAGAAAATAAGTAAAACAGGAAGTGAAACATCTGCAGGTAAACAGGAACTCACCTTTCCGAGAGAGGCATCTCAGCATGGACAGCTTGCACTGTATCACAACAAATTTATCTGGTTTTAAGTCTGCTAAAATGTGCAACTCATACCACACCAGTCTAAAGTATGGTTGTCTCTTGTTTTCGACAAAGTTCTCGGAAAGAACTGCACAGGTCAAAATTATGTTTATTTACACTATCAAAGTCTATGTTATAACAAATAAATATAAATTTGACAATCTCATACATTGGTTAATAAATAACTTGTTTTACTATTGTAGTCAATCCAATATTGCAATTATTTAAGGGTTTTTCTATTCTCTTGATATCTACATTTTTTATGGACATCTTCGGTCAGGGAAATTTCAGACATATTTGACCGAACAACGTCTCGAAATCCCAAAATAAATGTCAATTATGATTTTACTTCAGCGGAAGTGATGGTTATAAACCGTTATCGATTACTACGTTTATTATTTCTTAATTTTAAATTACTTAAAAAAAATCACTTGTTAAACACCAGAATCTTATCAGATTTATGCAAAATATTCTGTACTACTTTGCGGATGAATACCGCACTGACTTGTACTACTTTTGAAGGAACGAGACTTCAGGATATCCGGCTAATGATTGGTTGAAAAAAAATGTTGGAAAAAAAATACGAATACGGTCAATAAATTTTTCTTTATGTGCAGATATGGGAAAGGGCAAAATGAAAAAGGTTTTAAAATCGGGAAAGGTCTTTTTGCCTGTGTGGAAACAAAATATTATAGTCTTACCTTTAAAGTTGTACAGGATCTTTCAAATATTTAAGTGTGTGTCTTAATAATTATGATTTATTCTAGATTGACCAGTTCTTCACAAAATTGATAAAGAAAAAGCACGTCTTAAGTAAAGTCGCGAGAAAAACGAAAACATATATGAAATAAATAAAGAAATTAATAGGACTTAGTTTAGTTGAAATATAAATATTGCATGCATATCTAGGCAAAGTAATTAAGTTATCGTTTTAATTAACTGGGAAAGTGCTATAGGCTTTTCAGTTTTAATTCATGAGGATATACAGTATATTGATAATTGGTGGTCACTTATCTAGATTTGCATCCATGAAAAACAAAAATGTTAAAATGGTTGACATATTGTTGAACTGATATTAATAACATAATTTAGTCGTTTTTTTAAAGTTATTTATTTATGTTGATTTCTTCATCTTCTTCTTCCTTCTTTCAAAATAACCATTTCGATTTTTTTGCGGTTAAATAGACAAATCAACTCATTCTTGACAACAGTAAATGCGCTCATTGGTGTAACATGTTGTAAAATCGACAAAAGTTGATTGTTTCGTAGCGTCATTCCCTCCATTTCTGAGAGCAACATGTGTTATATAGAGCTATGACATTTGAAAACGGCTACAAACAAGATGTGGAAATGAAATGGACTTAAGGTTTGTCTTCTTTATGTCGTACACGTTTAATCATTGTAGTTTTAAAATAAAAGTCAAAAGAATGCTCATTAATTCACAAGTAAAAAAAGCGTTTGTTTTCATTGTTCAAACTGCGTGACTATATATATTTCCATTATAATGAAACTTTGTTCTAAAACTTTGAAGTTCTAAGAGTAAATTAACCGTCGGAAGATAAATGCTAGATTTCATTACGACCTAAACACAATAAAGTTAAATATTATAAAAATGAAATTTTAGCATTTTAGACATTTATTCCCATATATTCGAACTCACTATTTAATTAGGCAATACAGTTCTTCAAAAAATGAAATAACGAAGTAAATATTATATATGTACTCGCACCTTTGCTGCATTGTTTTGTAACGTCCAAAAAGTAGGCAATTTTGATACAATGATTCAACGACAGCTTGATATGATGGTTAATTTAGATTAGGGAGGTCATTGAATATCGCGATATCGATATATCATCGATATTCATCATTTGATACAATATTGATACACACTTTCAAATATCGATACAAGCTAAAATTTATTAATTTCTGTTAGTGAAAATACCTCTCTATTTTGCCTAATAAGAGAAGTCACTTTTTTCCAATTTTGTTGGCTAACTTGAACTTTACACTCTGTTTTCAAATGTCAGTGACAAAAATAAATAGAAAGAACAAACTTTCTGTTAGTTTGTAGTATTTGTATTGTCTAATACAAGCATGCATAACACCACGATATTTGTACCTCGATACATCCATACAAAATTGTCCATCAATGTCAGCCCTAATTTAGATGACGGCATTATAACTTTTAGGAACAAAACTGGTGCATGGTTTTATATCAAATTGACTTTTCCTAATCTTGTTCATATATCAATAGTATTAGTATTAATATTCTAATAATGTTTGGAAATTGTTATATGTAAAAAGGTACCGGTAGTATGTATACATTTGTACTCACGTTTCTTTATAGATAAAATCAGTTTAACAAGGTAATGGTAGATCGATGATCGTCATGCTTATTTGATTTCAATTAAATTTTCAAGATTTTAATATGTACACACAAAATTGAAGGTGTTTATATTCACTTTTTTTAACTTTTTAAAAACTTGAAGGAAGTACACCATAAAAGCTTTTATATGTGTTTACGATTATTCCTACCTTCTTACCAGGGAATGTCTTCTACATTTTAGTCAAATTGAGACAAATTTGTAGATATTATAAATCATGTACAAAGTATACCCTTTTTGTTATTATTTCGTGCAGTTAATTTTTGTAAAATGGCTAGGATGTATGTGTGTAGTTTAAATGCTAGCTCCTCTTCCATTTTATGCATTGAAATATTGAATAGATTTTCAATACCAACGTTTACATACATGCACTTAACTTTCGTTTCGAACTCTTTAATTCATAAAGTCGCAAGATGTTGATGATCGAAGTACAATGTAATTCTCAACAAATAATCAATATTTAATTAATCGTAAATATAACTACGTATGATTTGCTGTAAATGATTTGCTGTAAATGTTTGCGTCGTGGCGACTTTTGGAAGAATTTAAAAAATACCAGTAGTAGATAATTAATGTTAGGTAAAAATGACGAAACCAAACAATAATAAGGTTTGATAATATACATTGCTTTGTAAACTGACTTCAAATCTCGCTGAGTATTGGTGGTAACAGGGTCTTTTAAACAATATTTTTAAAGACCCTGTTGGTAACTATGTTCATTCGGATACGCCACTTTTGCGCAACGAAGAAATATGAATAAATCAAAAATCTAACCTTAACAAGAAATGACCATTGCAATTTTCATCGGGCGAAACCGAAACAATTTAAGTAGAATCGAAGTAATTTGCTTTTCAAAATAGACCATTTTCTTCGTGTAAAGCGATATTTTAAGTCTTAATTAATTGAACGCACAAGATATTTTTCAATGTTCTCCATATTTCTGTGATTTTTGTAGACCAATGTTAGCAAGATGATTTTTATAATCGATGACCTCTGAAAAGTCAATGAAAAGCTTTTTAAATTGGCTAATCTTCTCGCTAATGAAGAAGTTCATGGTTTGGAACATATTAAAACTATCATCGTCCAAGTAGTATACTTAATTTCATGTAAACATAAAACTTTCATGGAATGGGAATAAAGTATGTGTTGCACTGAAGTTTCCAGCCATGGTTCCTGACAAAGGAACAGATCTGCGGATGCTCCTAAATTTACATGTTACAATAACAAGAAATCTGCTAAAGCCGTTGCTATGGTGTGTGTGGGTGGGGTGGGGGGAACGGGACAGACAATATAGTTTGCACTTACCCCACTAAGGTCAATGAACAGGCGAGCTCACTCTGTGTGGGGGTGGTGGGCTTGGGGAACGAGACAGACAGTAGGTTGCATTTACCCCACTAAGGTCAATGAACAGGCTCACACAATTCAGTCATTTTCGTATAGGTTAATATGTTAATGTTCAGTCAACGTTAATTTTATTAATCGGTCGAGCGGCGGAATTAATACCGACTTAATAACACTAAATGAAATTATGTTTTGAATCTTTAAATCGCGCGAATGTAATTCGTTGATTTAACAGGATAGTACATTTTAGCTTTGATCCCAGATTTTAGTACCAATTAAATGAGTTAAATATATACCAAAGAGTTTAAAATTGGAAAGGTCCCTTTGACAAAACATAATTTCAAACGTCATTTTTAAACACTGTTCAAAGTAAATTTTCTCTGGGACAGAATATTACATCGTCGGATACCCACGGCCGAACCATTAACATTCATCAGATGTTATGTGACATGTTTATCAATCGTGGGTATCCGACGATGAGAATATTATTTCCCAGATTTTCTCCTGAACATTAAATTTAGTACCATTTAACCTAGATGATCCGATTTCGGAATATAACCAGTCACGTGCTAATCACGTGATATTTAAAATGGTTGTCAACTTCCGTACTGCATTTTACAGGTAAATAATGTTGTTTTTTTTTAGAAATCATAAAGAAAAGACATCAGTTTTCAATTGTTGTAGGTCTGAGACAAATAACATTTTATGCAAAAGCAATTTAATCGAGAATGAATGCTTAATGCGTTTGAATATTTATATTTTACTAGTTTGTCATGTTTGAACCCAAAATAAAATGTACCCGAAATAATTAAATATATTCTTATAGCAAGCTGGTTAAAACCCGATCGGGCTTATCACATAAAAATCATATTTCTAGAAAAGTAATTAATATGCCTCTTTCTAACTTGTTATATACACAAATCAAACAAATGAACCAACTATGAAGTAGTGGAGTAAGTTTGTCAAAAGAACAGGGCCTTTAAGAGAGCCTTTCCATCAGAGCTCAGAATCATCTTACAGACTACAGGAACTTTATACAGGTTGGGACATCGGGATTGGAACATGGGGACAACTTATTGAATATCAAACTTGGGCAGAAATAGTTTCTAATAATATTACTAAATTGAAGAAAATTAAAAATACAATACAGTTTGTGAGATGAGCCCGTTGACTATGTTTAGTAGACCTAGTTTTAGACAAAGATTGTTTCAGTGAAATTTAGACATTTTTAATATGATTTAAAACAGTAGTATCTTTTATTTTAAGCTTTATTATCTGGAAACTTTTCTTTCTTTTTTTTTTTTAGTTTTCTTTGAATATATTTATATTTCTTTTGAAAGTGAATTAAATTATGAAGTCAATGGATGTGGAAGGACTAAATATTAAGCTGTCAGAAAATTTATCCTTCTCCAGCTGGAATGAGTTTATTACAAAGGTAAGTATATAGATGCATTTTATATAGAATTATGTAATTATGTATTTTCAGATTGTAATGAAGAATGTATTCTGTACACATTGATGCCCAAAAAAGAAGAAATAAAGATTTAGTCAGAATAATGGAGCAACAAGACGAAAGTAAAAATAAAGCGAACCAAAAAATTATGCGCTACAGGAATGCGCTGATTAAAAAAGTTATTGTTGTTATCCTTGCTTTAATAATTGTTTGGAAGTTATGGATGTACATTAATTACACTGAAACCCCAGCCGAAGTTCCACCGCAACAAAAAGTGCAGACAGTTTCAAAATGGGTGTATGAAGATCACAAGCAGGGCCTGACAGAAACTGGACTGAAACAGGTATTGAGTGCTATTGATAATGGAGAAAAGATTGACAGTGGTCGGTCTGTTCATGACCAGGAAAAAGAAACAATAAAAAAGGTGGAGAAATTTCCACTGAAAAAGGTGGAGAAACCATATACAAGCACTGGAAGTTTGACATTCAAAGGAGGTAAATTTTATCTGGATGGAAAAGTTTTCCGTATTCTCAGTGGTGCCATGCATTATTTTAGAGTCATGCCAGAGTACTGGCAGGATCGTATGCGGAAAATGAAAGCATGTGGCTTGAATACATTGGAAACGTGAGTTTTTAAATTTTCAGTTGAAATAAGATACAAATTATAAAAATAGATTACTTTTAATTCTGGAATTCTTGAATTATAATCTGATATGTAAATAAGAATGTTATAATAACATGTCATATCCACATAGTATATAAGTGTATAGATTGTAAGATTAACACTTCAGTATGAAATAAAATGAGAAAATGTGGATGAATTTTTAACCTGAAATGGTCACTGTAAGAAGGAGTCAGTTTGTAAGATCTATAGGATCATTAATGATTATTTGTATTATAAATTATAGTTTATTATATACCAAAATGTGTATTTGATCAGATGTTATAATTGAACAAAATGTATCAATAAACTAATAAATTGTGACATTTACATGTATATTATCTATTTTAGACTCTATAGTGCTTGTATATATTATAAAATGATTACTTCAAATTTATTCTAATCATGAAAAGCAGATGTGCTGCAATATATTTAGATTTGATATTCCTAATCCTATAGCCATATATATATAAATGGTTGTAAGCATAAACAAACTTGGCATAGCAACTCTAAATTGGGGTTATACAACCTATGACCATTTATAATTGGTAGTGTAACAAGTCAATTATCTTTATAACAAATATGATGGATGTGGTTTGTTCAAACACTAGTTTCCTTTTCAGATATGTGTCCTGGAATTCGCATGAGGAACAGCCTGGTGTTTTCAATTTTGGGGGAATTCTAGATATAAGGTAATTTTTTTATAAATAATGAAAGATTAAAAAATAATTGAAGTGTTAATATTAAATTCATCTTGAGATTCGAACGTTGAATTGCATAGTCTATACAAAATGTGGTGTCACTCATTTTGAGCTTGACTATGCGAAGAATAGGCAGAGCTTTTGTACTCAAGTCAGTGTCACACTTTTGTTATTAAAAATTTTTGGGTGCAAGTTTGTATCTCCAAAAAAGAAGTGAATGGGTTTAAACTTTATCTCTTTGTAAACTTTGAATTTCCTTTGAAATTTGTGAAGTTTTACTATAACTTTTCTTATTTCTAAAAAGGTTTATACCAGTTTTCAAATATAAGTTCTTTTTCATCACTCAAATGTCCTTTATTATTCAGTATCAAAATATCATATTCAGTATCAAAATATCATATTCAGTATCAAAATATCATATTCAGTATCAAAATATCATATTCTATTCAGTATCAAAATATCATATTCAGTATCAAAATATCATATTCAGTATCAAAATATCAGAAATGAAAAATGTCCTACTGGTCAGACAATCAAACCTAACACTTTACTTGTGACATAGACAAGTTATTATTGCCTCATGATTTGAAAAGATAAAGGAGAGTACAATAAAACCTCTTGGAGGAAAAAAAGTGATACTCTGTAATGACTAGTAGTTTTGAATTGTGAATGTTTACTTTTGGAAGAAATAATGATGTTGATGTAAAGAGGTAATTGCTCTACAGAGGGCCTTTCTGCAAAGGTTGTACTGTATTTGTTTTTTCTAAAGTTACATGTATGAATATTTCAGGAAGTACATAGAGATGGCTCACGAAGAGGGACTTTATGTTATCCTTCGTCCAGGGCCTTATATCTGCTCAGAATGGGACTTTGGTGGCCTTCCAGCGTAAGTTTGTTTTGTACTATTAACACCATTCAAATGAATTGTCCTGCTACATGTTGAATGAATGTACATGTAAGTGTAATCATATATTTGATCAAAGATAAGGCAACAAGTAAGTATATTTGTATCTTGTTAACATGTGTTAAGAAAGCTGTTACTGATATTGTCATAAAAAATTGTGAAATCCAGAAACATTTTAATGTCATTTATTTACAATGGCTAAAGATTCCAGATGAAAGATTGATATAGATTTTCTATGTCAGATACTGACAATGAAAACAGCTTTCACCTTGTAAGACACTGATAAGGCCCAAAATATGTCTATTTCTGACACTGGCAAAGGCAAAAATTGATTTTTATTTTGTAATATGATAAGATACATATCAAGTCAATATGTTTATTATTTCAGGTGGTTATTGAAAGATCCAAATATGAAGGTACGCAGTAACTACCCACCATATCAGACAGCTGTGGAGAGATTCTTTAACAAACTTATACCTCTTGTAGCTGATTTACAGGTAAGTCACATGTTCACTTCCTTCTGCTAAAATGTATACTGTTTAAGTGGTTAAGTTAGCCACGCAGAAATATTAGCGAATTTCGCGAATTGATGAAAATCTCTAAAATTTCCCAAAGTGTGAATATCACCCAACCTGTTTTCAGTTTTCATGTTACTCCAAGATTGGTGATTCAATTTTAAATTGAATTTTAAATCCGCTAACTTTTCGACAAATGGAAATTTTTACTTATACTAGTTAAAACTGCTTCTTTGTCCACATTTATAAACATTCCAAACGCCTAAGTGTGCCACCTCTGAATATCCTGAATATGTATATATTAAGGTGCGGTGACTTATATATGCTTGTGATAAATTTAATTGACTGAAAGACAAGAGCTGTCCCTTTAGATAGGCTCTACTTTGTACCATACATGTTAAATTAAATGAAATTTAAATTTTATGAAATGCCTAAATTTCACTCTCAGTTGTTGGAATCAATTTCAAGTTATCACCCTTTTCTGATTTATTGTATTTTCCCCTTTAGGGAAGCCACAGGTTGTTTTTAAAATTGAAAAAGAAAATCACTGGCATATTTTAGTTGACCGTTTGCTTGCATGACATTTATCTGCATTTATTTAATTTTACCCATGAAATATGGTGCTATATCAGTTAAATATATTTCATATTTTTTAAAAATAAATATGAAATATAAATATAAAAGTGGGCGGAGTCAAAACTCATATTTATTTTAAGGGACTTCTTTCGCCGTTTTGTTTGAAAAATCTGATAAATACAAAACAACTTTTTCTTGAATTTTGTTTTGAAAACTATCTAACATGATAGAAAATGGTCTAACTAAGAAAATTAATCCGAACACCAATATCTTTAATACAGTAATTAACGCTGTACAGACGTTTAAAGAGTTGTTTTCATGACGTCACAATGTAGCCCCAAACAGCGAGTGCTTACGCATAAATTACTGCGCACTGTACAATTGAAAGTACTTGCTTGCTACAAGCAAGGGAATTCGTTACCATTTTCTTTGATAATGAAATTAAATAAAAAGGTTATTTTTTCGTTTTTCGTGAAATATGGTATATATTTTCACTCAACAAGATAAAATGCCACATGTTTTCACTCGCTGTACCAGCTTGTGAAAATATGGGGCATTTTATCATGTTTCGTGAAAATATAAACCATATTTCACGCAAACGAAAAAATATCCTCTTGATATTCATGGCATGTATTCAGATAACCATTTCCTGAGGGCTGTAGTTTTCAGTTATTTGTAATGACTGTTACAGAATCACTTAGTATATAATTGGAATTTTGTTGCTTTAGTGGTGTTAAACCTAAATAAACACAACATTGATTGTTTAAATGTATCTTGCATGCATTTTAGCATATACAAGGTGGACCAATTATTGCAGTGGCTGTTGAAAATGAGTTTGGATCATACAGTAATGAGGTGGAACATTTATTGTTCCTTAAACAGGTAACTTTGTCCTATTGATTTGATACATTGCAAATGTATGTATATGTACTTACAATTATTAGTTTAGTTCTAAACAGTAGTTTTTAGAATTATTCTGAATCAGATGATTTTTTGTCACTCAGAAATGCCTTTTTTGTTTTTAATATAAAACTATATAAAGATGTTTAATTTGTTTAAGGATTTGTAAGTTTTCAATAAAAGAAATAGTGCAAGCTTAGTTGTACCTGAAGTATTGCAAGGTGTCTAGGTCCTCTTAACAGTTATGCAGAAAAACTGCCATATGACCTTGACAGTGTCAATGTGACTTAAATACCAAATCAATCAAACAAAAACATGACAAAACTTTTTTCAAATTCATATGACATGTACATATATTCTTCCTTGTATATAGGGAAATGATAATCTACTTTTAGTTGCTGCTTAAAAATGGTGTAAAGGAATTGTTGTTTGTTGCTGATGGCATAGTAGGCAAGGAGCTGACAGGATTCAATGTTGCACCATTCTATGATGGTAAAATATTCATGTATAATTGTGTTTTTTTGTGTGTTTTTTAAAAGGCTTTGATAATGTTGAAAATCACATGCTATCTTGTCAAAGGGACTTTACTGACCTGATGGGAGTGATTTTTTAAAGATTTTTTTTATACCATTTAATGTAGGTCTATATCAATAACTCGTAGGCAATATTTCAGACCATTTGCTAACTCTGTTTCTCAATATTAATCATTTCCATTGTGCATAATGACACAAAAATGAAAAGTGTTGAACCACTTTTTACTAAGTAGTGGCTAAAACAGCACTAACAATCATTCTTTTGTATATTTTTCTGTTTTGAGTGCCCCAGTATGAATTTCAAGTTTAATGTTTTTAGGCAGTGAAGTTCCTTTAACTTTTAAGATTGATGTACATGTACATGTATGTAGGTATTTGTAAATTTAGTAAATACGTACATGTATGTGTAACATTGCTGTACCCTCTTTTCGACTGTGTTTGAGTAAGTTTAACTAAAAAAATATTGCATTTGGTCTACTGACTGAAATTTTTCATGATTGGTCATTGGGAAGTGCACATATTTTCAGTAATGACAGACCTTGTTATTCCTGTCATCAACTGCCTGGCTGTATACTGATGGAAAAGGTCAATCATTTTCCACACTAGTAGGTCAAGGGTTAATCTCACAAGAGGTGTTATTCTCATATATTGTCAAAAATAACTCAGATGATTTATATACTGATGATTGCATGTGGCTATTTTAAATGTAGTATTTGTCATTTATTTCAGAGACTTTACCAACTGTAAACTTTATGAAGTTTCACCTTGGTGAGGTTCTGATAGAGCAAGTGAAGTCGATCAGTCCGGAATTCCCGATCATGGTGATGGAGTTTTGGGCCGGCTGGTTTGATCACTGGGAACATACACATGCTTACTCCCTGGCTAAACGTACATTATATTTATTACTATCTTTTTACTTATCTATTTCCTGCAAATACTATTTCATTTCTTGTGTTTTATAAATCTTTGGGGATGAAACAAACAGATTGATTGGGGAATATATATATTCTTATATTTTAAAATATCTTATCTTGTTACATGTAAAATAAAGTAACAGTTAAAATGATGCTTGATAGTTTTGTTCTTAAAAAGATAATGAAGTGACCTTAAGCTGTTATTTTCTTTTGGAAAAACAATGCTGTGTTTCAGTAATTTTATCTTGGAAAATTGGATCATATCACACTTAAGCCTTTTCCAAAACAGCTTCTCGAGATTGATATATATCACATAAGTGACGTTAGTTTTTAAAAATAGAAGATCTGGAAAGAATCTTCCACTTCACTAATTTTAATAAAGAGAGAAGACCGGTAGATTAGAGTAATTGAGGGGTTTCCTTGTTGTTTATGTATCTTATCATCAGTAAATTTCAGTTTCCACCTTAGTTCTTTTCATTTGACAATTATATGAAATGATTTATCTAAAAATAACATATTTGACCTTTAGAATAGCTGAAGGCTGCTTTGAACATAGCTGTGATATTTTTCTCCATCTTAAAACATTTGTTAGTCATCACTATTGCAAACTTTTAATTTTTAAATACCAAGTAATTATTTATCATATATAGTACATAATTATGCTAAAATTTAACCATGCTTCAAAAAAGAAGCTGTATCGGCCTGTCAATTTCTTAATTAAATTCATCACATTAAATGACGTAGATGTCTCTTTATTCTTTTGTTGATTATTGTTTATGTTTTACAGATTTAGGGTCGGACTTACAGAACATACTGGAATCTGGTGCTTCGGTGAATTTCTACATGTTCCATGGAGGAACTAATTTTGGTTTTACAGCTGGGGCAAACTGGTTCAATAACTCCCACTATAAACCAGATGTTACTAGTTATGGTAAGTTCCTAAGAGTCTACATTTGTTCATACTCAGCAAAAACCTTTTTGCTTGTTTCTTTAGTGATATGCTGATTTAGTGACTTTGATTAAGCATAAATTTAACAATGCTTGAATCTGTTCATTAAGTCATAAGGCCCAACAGCTGTGCACTTATACATAAAGTAATTAAAGTTTCAAAATTTCTGTCTATGAACAAGTTTTAGCATAGTTCTTTAAAACACTTAAATACTTTGCACTTTATGAAAAATTTAAATCTGTGCACTTAAGCAAAAATCTGTTGAATGCTTCAATACTGTGCGCTTATTGATTTTCGGAAGATTCAAATCTTTTTGCTTTGGCATAGATTTATTGAGAAAACTTTTAAATAAATAAATAAATTTTTGGAAGATTTTTAGTCTATATTTTAAGCATAAATCTATGGAAGATTTAAATCTATGCACCGTTTAAAAAAAAATAATCAAAAGACAGATGTGTATGATCACATAATTGTCGTCCCATGTTATATATATATTTGTATGGTATTTTTTTAAGAAAACTGTTTCATTTGTCTATTTCATATAACCTAAATACATGTATCTTTTTTACCAGATTATATAGCGCCTATAAGCGAAGCTGGAGATCTGACACCAAAGTATGAAATTATCCGAGCCATACTGAAGAAAATGGTGCTTGAACCTGAAGGTAATTGAATGCTGGAAAGTAATTTTTAGCTTATCTATTTGAAGAATAAGGGGAGCTGTTGTACTCAACGAGTGTCAGCATTGCTGTCACATTTTGGTTAAGTTTTTGTGTGCAAGATGGTTTAATGGAATGAGTTGAAACTTAACACAGTTGTTCTCTGTGATTATCTGTAAGTCCCATTACTCTTGAGTTTCCTTTTTGCAAAATAATACCCCTTCTAATACTGTCAAGCACTGAGAATAGCTGGGTTTAGGGACAGCTCTTGTTATAGGCATTCTTCAGAGTTTAACATTAGTTTCATAGAAATTCTTTAGGTTATGCAAGTTTTTGTGTTGCATTTTTTAAAAGTTCATTTTCATCTTTGAACCTCTGAAATGTAATATTTACTAGGGTAGAAGCATAATAGCATGTTGAAAAATAGCAGTGTAGTTGCTAGCATTTGCTAACAGTACAAAGCCAGTCTGCATGTTCTGGCAGTCTGACTAGACTCTACACTGTTGGCTGGTCAGTGAAAGCATCAATCTGGATAACAAAAAAATTGATTATGAATGCTTCCTAGATTGAAGCTGGTCAGGTCCATTACACAAATATCATAGAAAATAAAATGTGATTTTCTTACTTAAAAAAAACAACATTATTTAATCTTCCTGGAGAAAAAGCGTATGTTCTGTCTCAAGTTATTTTATTCCTTTTTTCTGGGTATCTTTTTAAACAAGCTATATAAGTGCTGCAGCGGTGTTACTTACAAGTGTGACTCATCAACAATGTTTCAAGCTGTTACCCAACTTTCTATAGATAGCTGACTATTGTATGTCATGTATATGACATGATGTAACGATTATTTTAGGACATTTGTCACACTTCAGTCCCCCGCAGACTGTTATTTTATGTTGAGTTGTTATAAACATGAAGCAGAAATCTGGTATTGATCCAGAATCAGATGACACTGTTGCCAGTCAAAAAACTGTATATCAACTATGGTTATTTTTTATATGTAATGTATGTAATATGACTGTGCATTATTACTGACTTGCCTTGACATATACTTAAAGATATACTATGCTCAAATTTGATATCAGAAAATATTGATAATTGCTACACAGTCTCTTTGTAAGTATGAAATAAACATGTTTTGTGTTCACACAAAGTTAATATGTCATGTTTAAAACTCTACACACATAGGTCATCACAAGATGAATATATAGTGTCGTTAAAAAAACTGGCAGTTTTTTTAAGAAAAGATCAACTTTACTTGTCATGTATTAGAGAACGTGACAATATAGTTTATTATTTAGTTTTATTTAAATTAAACATATTCAGTAAGAATTTCATAGGTTTAAATAAATTGCTTTGATTAAAATATTTTACTCAAAGATGAGCATAGTATATCTTTAAGCAGATCAACATATCCAACTGTAGTTAAAAAAACAACATCTGATGAATCTGAATCATGATTGTAACAATAATTGCTTTAATGCACACCAGAACACAGTGATAGGTAGATCGTTTAGTAATGCCATGCTTTTTCTGTTTTAGCTGTGGGCAAATGGTTAAAGTGTCTACCCCTCAACTCAGGAATCATGTGTTTGAGCCTTACTCTGGACACTTATATGTTTCCTCATGTTACACCAGTACTGGGGTTAGATCCAGGAATTGAACTTGTGAATAATTCAATTAAACTTATAGGTGTACTTGTGTCACAGAAGAACTTAAATAAATATATTAAAACTAAATTCTATTTAATGTCTGTTTACAGGTATTACAGATTTACCTACCCCACCTAGAAACTCTGACAAGGGGGATTATGGTGAGTGGATTTATTCTATACTTAAAATAACTTAATTAAGTTCAATGTTAAATTACTGTTGTTACGAAATATTAGTTAAAACAAATAGAAAGAAATATGGTTAAAACCCAACAAAAAACAACTTTAACATTGTACTTGTACATGATACAGAAACACTGGTTAGTGCTTGTTCATTAATTAGGAAGGCAATTTTGTACTGGTACATAAATCAGAAATGCTTGTAGCTGTCCACTTGTATATGACTGATATACAGTAGCAAGCTGATGCAAAATAAAACCCTTGATTAACATTATGACAAATTTTTATACATGTTGTATTGATTCATCTCTATAGATTGTAAACAAATATGTTTTTCTGCATGAATTAACATGATCAATGTGAATGAGTCTACAGTATGTGATGATTTATATAAAGAGAAATGGTCAACTGCTGTTCTATTGTACGTGTATATCTAGAATATTTGTTCAACCAATATATAGAAGTAAAGTACATTCTTACAAAATAAACAGCATAATTATTTTGAACAAGTTTGCGAAACCTCCAAAGGTATATTGTCAAGATAAATCATGGTTTAGAATCAAATGCCTATGTGCTAATTAGGGAGAGTATAAGATAGTAATCTAGGGGTTACTGGTTTGGTCCTCGAGTGAGGCCTTAATTCTCTGTCACAGTTGATCTCAGGTATTGAGTCTTATGGTCATTTATCTCTCACCACATGTTGGAATAGTAGTCACTCACTTATAGAGAAATTGATAATTTGACTGGATTGTTATCCAGGAAATCCAATTAGTTTAATTTAATCCTTGTTCAATAATTCAAACCTATAGTAGCTTTCATTTGAACTAAAAGCAAATTTTGTATTCTATAGTTCATGTATCTTATTAAACTAAATGTTATAATTTTTAGGTCAAGTGTTTGTAGACCAGTACATGCCATTAGAAGATATGGTTACATCTATTAAGGTAAGCTTTATATTCATATAAAATTACAACATTGTTTACTGAATAAATATGAGATTGGTGCGGTCGTCTGGATGTTAAAAAAATGGCTTTTGTAATCGGAGTCATGGGTTCAAGTCATACTTGAATGATGACCATGTTTCCTCTGTAAAAGACCAATAATGCATATAATAGTATGAAATCGAGACCTTGAATGTGTGGTCAATAAATTTTGAGAAATATTATATATAAATGTATTGTGTGATTGAAAGAAGTTGATAAAATCTTGAAATGTAATTGAGATCACACAAACTATGATTAAAACGGCCTTGCTGTGCTCACTGTACATGTTTTGATAGTTCTTAAAGTAATAGCATAATTTGTGATTACTGCACTTTAAATCACTTGATTTGTACATTTGACAATATCTTCATTGTTTTGAACAGAAGTTATGAATTTGAGACATGCTGCATTTTAAAGCCACTGACCTCCAGATGGTAAAATGAAAAAGAAAAGAAATAAAATTTCAAGTAAATGGTAAATGATCTAGTTAAGTTTATTGTATAAATCCATCATTACTGACACCTTTATTCAAGAAAGAATCTTGACAAAAGCGTTAATATATCAGGTTTTTCTTTTCCATAATCTACTATGTTACTAACACAGTAGCCAATATAAATAGGAGAAGATAATTCATTTAACACAGTCACGTGTCACAACAGTGGTCCAGAAAAATCTCAGTATCCGGTATGCCCGGGGTCATATATCAATTTTCGTCATTGAGTAGGCCCTAATCATATTTCAACTTAAAGATTAAATCAATATAATGATCATCATATATACTGGTATAATGAAGCAATTATAATTTTAGTTCCATAAATTACTACAAATATAAAAACAAAAGCAGTTATTCGTTTCACTATATGTTTGATATGATCCAGGATTCCGTGCATTCCGTAGCACAGGTCACAATATTGTCCTGTACAATCACATGATACTAGGATAAAAACCCCGGATAAAAAATTTAGTATAATAAAAGAAGGTATTTCCCGTTGGCGGAAAAGCGAAAAAACTATTTGTTTTCAGAGCAAAAATGTTAAAATATGAACATTTTGAAACGTCATTTCCGATTTGTTTCAAATACATAATGTTTTTGAAGGGGGGTTTTGAAATATTAGTAAGATGGCGGTTTTCTGCTACCTTCTGGAGGTCAGCTGCTTTAACTTAACATATTTCTGCTATAAAATATTAATTCATGTCAACAAGCAGACAACACATATTAAGTTTCAGATGTGTTTATTGATATAAATCAATGTTTGTACTCTCTGGAGTCTTTATCAGTGATAGATTTATAATAAGACAAAAAATCAGCTATCATAGAAAAAACACCCGATTGTACGATAAAGGAAATCTGAGACGTTTGATAAGACACCCTTAAATTGTATGATTGCACGGGACAATCAAAAAGTAAAAGACAGGCACATGGTCATTTGTTGATCATACAAATATATGGCATCCTACTTTTCTACATTATGTTCACAAGTTAATTAAAGTGTCAAGCATCATTCAGCCTTGGCATAGGTTTTTTTTTTAGCCAAGAGTATTTTGAAACTGTCAATGAACTGGACTGTAATCAATTATAGTAAGGTATGTTAATGAAGACTTTCGTCTATGCTAGGGAACAGTATCAGCATCTTTATTTGTCGTGCAATCTGCACTAAATTCTCACTGAGGCAACAATCCATGTATCAGCTGTTTCAAATGCAAAACATTTTACAGAGTTAATAGTGTAAAAGTTAATCGCTACTGAATAGAAAGAATTCAAAACATTTTATAAACATATTGATGATATTTTATTGAATGAGGCAACATTTTGTTACATTCAAACTCTTGAAAAACATTGTAACATCTGCACGGCAGCACTCTGTAGAACAATAACCTTCTTCAGAAGCAGCTATTTGGAACATAAGACTTAACAATAAAGTATCTCTCATCAACAACCAGAATCTTTTTTTGGTCATTTTATGGCTACATGTATAGGTCTATATTAATAAGTTATCTATCGAAAAGTTTTTATGCCCATGGGCATGTTGATTTTGGTCTGCCATTTAAGGTCAAAGTCACTAGGACCTGTAATAACGGTAAAATCAAAGTGCATTGGACTTCAGAATTTGTGTTTTGATGCTCCTTGTTGAGTTCTAACAGTCATACTTATTGTGTGTCGAAAGGTTAAAGGTCACAATAACCTTTATTTTTGGAGTTTTTGTTTACAATCAAAAACTTGGAATTAGGACATTAATACTTGATATATGGCGACATCTTAATTAGTTCTGCTGGTCAGGTCCATTTTCTATAACAACAGTTTTATGCTGTATGAACAATATTATTGGCTGTTCAAGTTAAACTTTTTGACATTTCAACTAAAGTGTACTTAAAATAACAATCCACTGTTTAAAAATTGCTCAAGTTTTTATTATAGATTTTGCATGCATGTTTTTAAGGTATTGTTTAACATTTCATGAATAGAATGATTCTTAGACAGTTCTTGTATATACAAAAGTTTTTGAGACCAGGAATCATGTTAAAAGAGTATACATATATATGTATAAAGTTGATATAAATTTAATGAATTATTATTATTCGATGAAATTGTTTGGTCTTTGTGCATTATATCAAAATTTTGCAAAATAAATGAATACCGTTTTGATATTAAGTATACTGGCAGATGCAGTTTTCTCAAATAACAATAGACCATGTGGCAATAAAATCGGTGCAAATAAATTTATATAATATATCTTTTGAAACATGTACATTGGCAAAAGAGTGAAATAACATAATTATAACCTTATAAGATTGTTCAGTATGTGTAAACTTATTAACTTGTTTGCAATAGAATATAGTGTAGTGAACTAAAACAGTCTCGCATGCATCACAAATATATTTCACAAATAGCCTAAAACACTCGTACTAATGAGGATGTGTGTTTTTGTTTTATGAAGAATACTTGCTCAAAACATTGATTCAACAATGAATAATTTCTATACATGCTAAGAACTATCGGCACTTTTGGCACTTTTTGGACTTTTACGTTTATTATCATTTTCTGTACCTTTCTCTAACTGTTCATCTTCAAATCTTACTTGTTCCTTCTTAACTGAAACTTTGCCGAATTGTTTGGTTTTACGAATGTTTTTCAGAATTTCGGTATTTTCTTCAAATTTTATCTCATAATTTACACTACCAGAACGCACTGATTTCAGAACTACATTATTTTCTTGTAGTAATTTGTTGCTAATTTTAGAAAGTGTAAACACCCTGTTGGTTCCACTTGATTCCACTGCCATTTCAGCATCGGTTACTGTTTCGTTCAAAGCTTTAAGTGCCTCGTCACATTTTGTGATGTTATCATTTATTTCTTTGGTATTTATATCGACAACTTGTTTCATCCCACTAATGACCTGTTTCTCGAGTTGTTCTAGAGCAAAGTCTATCTCTTTCCTGTACTTTCTGACGGCCATGCTAAATTCACGCTTTTGGCGATCCAGATCTTTTAGGCGTGTGGCTGACTCTGATCGTACATTTTCAAACTGTCCAATCAGAGCCTTGATAAGTTTAAGAATGAGGGAGCAGTCTTCAGCCGGTGATTGTGTTAATTGTTCCGTGTATTCTGGAATGTAGAAACACTCACATGGCTTGTGCTTGCTTGTTGCGCATATAACACAACAAACTTCATCATGGTTCTTGCAGTATAATTCTATTGTCTTGTGTTTATGTTGTTTACATGTTTCAACCAACGGGTCAGAGGTTAAAACCGGAGTGGGTGCTTCTCTAGGCATGGTTTCCCGGTCAAGTAAGATGTGAATTTTTCCAAGATTTGAGTGATAGCTATAACAAGATTTGCAGAGGTAGTGTTTACAGAACTGGCAAAAACCAAATGCTTCAAGATTCTTGTTGTCTGCCTTACATGGTCCACAAGGGAACTCAACTTCAACTGATAACATAGATTTCTTACTTTTCTGAGATCTTGCAGTGGACGCCATGTTTTCTGTAAAATAGATCAAATGATACACTGAATCTTAAGCACTTACAGAGTTAACTTTCTTTTAATACTTAACTTTCTGAATTTCTTAATTAGACTAGCTTAGGTTTCATTTTTTAGAAATGCCCATTGCTAGTTTTGGGGATATAAAGATGAAAAATTAAAGTTAGCCAACATTATAGGGCCTGGTTGGTAAGACTACATGGATTGTGCAGGCTGGCCTTGTTCTATATTGGTGGCAAGGGCTAATCACTTTCGGTGTTAGTAGGACTGGTACTATCAACATATTCTTGTAGACACATATTTGGTTTAAGGCTGCATTTCTTCAAATGACTGAACAAAATTTAAAGGATTCAAACTTTAATATGATGAAAAATACAGTGTTAATTAATACATGTTTTTAAAATAAATTCAGTCCCTATAGTGCTTTATATGCTACCATAAAATATGACTGAGTTTATTATTGTTATCACCATATTTCTAATTAGATTGAGGGCTGTATTCTTGCATATTTTAACACATTTTTGTGTTATTTATGTGAAACTGTTAGTGCCTTATGCTAGCTTAAATTTCTTGTGAATGTTCTTTTCCTAACTACAATGTTTTTAGTATTTAAAACACTTTCCAGTTTTAAAAAAAATCTGAGTTTTTGAAATGATGTTTTTTTTCTCACTTTTCATTTTTGTTAAGTAAAATAACTATCTTTGACAAGCTTAAGCATGTTTTACTTTCTGTTGTAAATTTTTTTTTGTTTAAAAATTATTTATTTTGCATAAAGAAAAGCAAGAAAAGCATTAAAAATAAATAAGACAAAAGCAAACCTGTGAACTGTTGTGTTTGTATCCCTCAATTAATTTGCTATGGATAAAATCAGTTAAAATCTATCTTAACAGTTTATCGGTTTTAACACTTTGCCAGGTTATAATATATTGTAACCAAATATAACCAAATATAAACTATTGTTTCAACAAAATCATTGAACTATGACATTGTAACAGTATCAAATTACCAGCGTATAAATTAGGCGACTTTAAATTTGGTTAAATTATATATAAGGAGAGATAAGTTTTTTCTCTCCATTATTTATAACATTCTTTGATTGTTTTGTTTATTTATTATTTATAAAGGACAAAGTAATATTATTCTTAAAAGAAGTCTCTGAGAATAAAACCTGTTATATTTCAGTTGAAAATGTCCATGGATAAAATTTCAGAATATTTTTTTTTTTAATTTTTTTTTTATTTGAATGTACAAAGTTGAACCTGTCAAAAATGTGTAATGGACTTGCATAGCTTATAATTGGGGGAAGTCCATTGTTAAATTAAGGGAGTTGAAAATAAAAATGCTTCAACTGTTTCGAGTTAAGTAGATAAATCACTATGTTAATCAGAATTTAGTGAGTTATTTCATTTACAAGTTATATTTTGTACTGTAAAAGTTTTATTATTTGTGGCTCGCTTGATTGGCAGATCCATAGATTCCAACAAAATATTATTATTATGTATTAATTAAGCACTGCAATGTCTTTATAACCTGTAATAATAGATAATATATTTCTTTTTTTTTTCTTCGAAAATGAAATTCCATTGATTTAATAACATGTTTTTATGAACAAAAGCACAGATATAAGTTTCATTATTAAGAACCTAAATTCTTACATTGTAGTTTTCTTTAAAGCAAACATAGTTACATTAAATTGGCTTAATTGAAAAAATGGTTAACGGTTAAAGAAATTTTTTCACATTTTTTTTTTAGAAATTAATTATACTTACAATAAGATTTTCACCATATAGGTTTGTCTATCCCTTCTGATTTTTGTCACACTCACATTCTATATGTTTATTTTTATAGTAAATACGAGAACAATAGGTTAAATTAATTATTTATTATATTACTTCACATATATATCGGTACTCAGTAGCATAATTGATTAAATTGAACCCTGATATCGTTTAAATAATTTATTACCAATATGGTCATTGTATTAATAATAAAATATCAATGAATATTTTAGTCGGTGCAGATAAAGAAAAACAATTTTATGTAAACAAAGAATATAAAATAGTTACCAAACTTGCAATATGTCGTTTCAAATAGGTTTTTATTTTATCTATTAGTGTTAATTATGCCCCCATTTCGAAGAAAAGGGGGTATATTGCTTTGCACTTGTCGGTCCGTCGGTCCGTCGGTCTGTCGGTCCGTCGGTCCGTCGGTCCGTAGACCAAATGGTTTCCGAGTGATAACTAAAGAACCCTTAGGCCTAGGAACTTCAAACTTGGTATGGTGATTGGTCATGACCAGTAGATGACCCCTATTGATTTTGGGGTCAAGGGGTCAAAGGTCAAGGTCACATTGACCTTGAAAGCAAAAACGGTTTCCGATCAATAACTAAAGAACCCTAAGGCCTAGGAACTTCAAACTTGGTATGGTGATTGGTCATGACCAGTAGATGACCCCTATTGATTTTGGGGTCAAGGGGTCAAAGGTCAAGGTCACATTGGCCTTGTAAGCAAAAACGGTTTCCGATCAATAACTAAAGAACCTTAAGGCCTAGGAACTTCAAACTTGGTATGGTGATTGGTCATGATCAGTAGATGACCCCTATTGATTTTGGGGTCAAGGGGTCAAAGGTCAAGGTCACATTGACCTTGTAAGCAAAAACGGTTTCCGATCAATAACTTAAGAACCTTAAGGCCTAGGAACTTCAAACTTGGTATGGTGATTGGTCATGATCAGTAGATGACCCCTATTGATTTTGGGGTCAAGGGGTCAAAGGTCAAGGTCACATTGACCTTGTAAGCAAAAACGGTTTCCGATCAATAACTAAAGAACCTTAAGGCCTAGGAACTTCAAACTTGGTTTGGTGATTGGTCATGATCAGAAGATGACCCCTATTGATTTAGGGGTCAAGGGGTCAAAGGTCAAGGTCACATTGACCTTGTAGGTAAAAACGGTTTCCAATCAATAACTAAAGAACCTTAAGGCCTAGGAACTTCAAACTTGGTATGGTGATTGGTTATGACCAATCAGATGACCCCTATTGATTTTGGGGTTAAGGGGTCAAAGGTCAAGGTCACATTGACCTTGTAGGTAAAAACGGTTTCTGATCAATAATGAAAGAACCCTTAGGCCAAGGGACTTCAAACTTGAGATGGTGATTGGTCATGATCAGTAGATGACCCCTATTGATTTTGGGGTCAAGGGGTAAAAAGGTCAAGGTCACATTGACCTCTTAGGTAAAAACGGTTTTTCGATCAATAACTAAAGAACCCTTAGGCCTAGGAACTTCAAACTTGGTATGGTGATTGGTCATGACCAGCAGATGACCTATTGATTTTGGGGTCAAGGGGTCAAAGGTCAAGGTCACATTGACCTTGTAGGTAAAAACGGTTTCCGATCAATTAACTAAAAACGCTTAGGCCTAGGAACTTCAACCTTGTGTTGATGATTGGTCATGACCAGCAGATGACCCCTATTGAGTTTTTAGGTGAAGGGGTCAAAGGTCAAGGTCACATTGACCTTTTAAGTAAAAACGGTTTCTGATCAATAACTCAAGAACACTTAGGCCTAGGAACTTCAAACTTGGTATGGTGATTTGTCATGACCAGCAGATTACTCCTATTGATTTTGGATTAAGGGGTCAAAGGTCAAGGTCACAATGACCTTGTAAGTAAAAACGGTTTCTGATCAATAACTAAAGAACGCTTCGGCTAGGAACTTCAAACTTGGCATGGTGATTGGTCATGACCAGCAGATGACCCCTATTGATTTTGGGGTCAAAGGTCAAGGTCACATTGACCTTGTATGTTAAAATGGTTTCCGATCAATAATAAGAGAACCCTTAGGCCTAGGAACTTCAACCTAGGCATGGTGATTGGTCATGACCAGCAGATGACCCCTATTGATTTTGGGGTCAAGGGGTCAAAGGTCAAGGTCACATTGACCTTGTAGGTAAAAACGGTTTCTGATCAATTTACTAAAAATGCCTAGGCCTAGGAACTTCAAACTTTGTATGATGATTGGTCGTGACCAGCAGATGACCCCTATTGAGTTTTGGGTCAAGAGGTCAAAGGTCAAGGTCATGACCAGTAGATACTTTATAACCCTTATTAATTGTTTGATCACTGGGTCAGAAGTCATGCATAATAACCTTATCACATGACTAATTGGCTGCTGATAGGGGGCATACATGTTTTACAAACATATCTTGTTTTGTAAAGGTTAGCCATTGCCTAGTTAAGATTTTTTCCTTTTAATCCAGGGGTCATGTGTGTCAGAACATTTGGAGGGAAAAATTTTGATTTAGTTCCTTAAAACTGATACTTTTAAATTGAGGGAGTTGATTTGAAAGTGAATAATATGCAGTTTGCCACAAAAGAGTTAAGATCTATGCAGTCTAACCAGGCTCTATGATGATGATTGCTTAACTTGTGCACTTAAATATTGAAATCTCTAAATGTTTAATGGACCATAAAAATTCAATTCAATAGGGCAAGTCCAGCAAATTAAAGATTAGTTTATTATTATACAAATTTATTTTAGTTTAATTGTGTTGTAAGCTATAAGCTTATTGAAACACTCTCAAATCTGATCCTGGAACCAACCAGTACTAAGCAGTTAGTGTAAAGTTTCTCGCTCAAGGAAACAAAGGCTTGCCCTTGGCTGGGTCTGAACCCATGCAGCCAGCAATTCTTAGATTACTAGTCTGACACATTAACTCAGCCATGCCACCACGGATTAAAGGTTTATGTATTGTTCTATATTTCAGGCAATATCGTCAGACAAACCCGTCCCCATGGAGATGCTAGATTTACACAATGGATATGGTCAGAATTTTGGCTTTATTTTGTACAGGGCATATGTTCCTAAAGGAAAGAAACTGACATTTACTGTACCTGCACAGGATCGAGCGCAGGTTTGTGCTTCTGATTGTGAATAGTTTTATGTACAGTGCAACCTGTACAGAGTGACCCTTTATAGAGCAATAACCTCCACAGTTTGTTTCTCAAGGGTGTTCCTCTCCAGTGGTTGTACTGTATTGCTAGAAACTTCAGTTAGTTAAACTAATCCCCGTTTTAGTTTTATTAGAAAGTGTCAGCATTTTCTGATGCATGCATTAATTATGGTCAGAATGATAGTAAAAATTTGTTCTGTCAAGGTCAAAATAGTGTGTGTTGTTTTTTTATTGTCAACATATGTGAAAGTTCTTACCCTAGTCATCCCATAAAGACTTGTAATAAACAAATCTTAGCAAGTGTTACACTGTGTACAAGATTTATATATCACTCTTCATATGAAATGACTGTTAATGTATAATCCTTTTGGCATGTGACATTTTAAGCAAGGAAATGTCAAAAAAGACAAACTATTTTTAGAAAATACATAATGGTTATATTACTTTGAAAACAAGCAATGTCATGTGATAGCAATAATTTTTGTATGATATTAAGAGAAGCGTTTTTATTTTAAGTTTTAAATTTGTTTATATTTGTTTGATACAATAGTAAAGTTGCAAATTTTAGTCAAGGCAGATCATCAAAAAAAAAACGTGCTTTATTGATAAAGAAAATTTTGATAATCATATTTTTTATTAATTTTAGGTGATAATGAATGGGAAAGAAATTGGTGTGCTGTATTGGAAATCAACAAGATGGGAAATTGATATTCCAGAAAATGTCCTAGATTCTGTAAGTCTTTCTTCATCATGAAAACCCTGACTGTCTTGGAAATTATTTTTTTGAGAACCATTTTAATGGTTGTGTGGACCAACAACTTGTGTGCTAAATTTCAGATTATTCACTCACTCTGTTTTCCCAGCATATTCATTTTTTGTTGCCTGCTACAGAGTAGCAGCTGAGTAGCTCAGTTGGTTTTAAGGCACGTTGATGGCTCTACGCAGTTGCCTGATCATGCCTGAAATAATGCATAGAGGCGAATCTGAGGTCTTCCTCCACCAATAAAGCTGGAAAGTTTCCATATGACCTTTATTGTATTTGTGCCATGTAAAACCCAACCTGTAAAAAAAAAAAGGCTCAGTTGGTAAAGCTGGAAAACAGTATTCCCATTATGCCAGGTTCGAGTTTGGGTGAGGCTGAACATTTGCTTAAATCTTATGACGTGAGCAATTACGTTTTGTAAAGTTAACGTTTTTATTGTGTAAATTGAAATATAGATTTGAATATATCATTATATATCGTAACAGGAGAACATACTGGATATACTGGTTGAACATCATGGACGAGTTAATTACGTCATGATGGGATTTAACAGATTCAATGAGGAGAGTAAAGGTAAGCTCGGGGAGTGGTGGCATAGTGGTTAAGGTGTCTGCCTGACAACTCAGGGATCATAGGCCCAAGCCCTAATCGGGACACGTCCATGTTTATTTTTTTCATATGACACCAGTACTGGTTGGTTTTAGGAAGGGAAATCTAGTAATATAAGTTGCAAAAACTTGTTTTGCAATCATGCTTAAATAAATATGTTTAAAACAAAGGTAAACCACCAGTTAATCACTCCGTATCTCTGTCCTTTCTTTTTAAAAAAGTATACAAATATGGAACTTTTAGATGGTGAAATATGATGTTAACTGAAAGAAATATATTAGTTGAGGTCAATATTAATAATTCAGTGCATATCACATTATATCCACCAGTAAAAAGTCCATATTTGTTTTTATTGAATCTCTTTTATGTCCTTTTAAATCACTGCCTATGCGTCAAAACAACAGACTGAACATATTAAATTTGAAATTTTTCTAAATAAACAAAAATGTGGCAAAATTTTTTGTCTTTGATTTTTATGTGTAATGCTTGTATGTTTTACCAAAGCTTCTTTAAGAAATAACCAAATGGACCATTCAGTATTTTGAGAAAAATAAACAAGTATATTTACTCTGATATTGACGTTTTATTTGTCAAAAAGTTATGCCTAAACCAGTTGAAGGAAGGCATTTCAAAGTTATTTATAGATTATACATGAAAGATTCTTATTAAGCCCTTAGTTTGCTTGCAGAAATAGATTCTACCCATACTTATCAATATGCACTAGTTATATATGCAGTTGTTATATATGCACTAGTTATATATGCAGTTGTTATATATGCACTAGTTATATATGCAGTTGTTATATATGCACTAGTTATATATGCAGTTGTTATATATGCACTAGTTACATATCCAGTTGTTATATATGCACTAGTTATATATGCAGTTGTTATATACATGTATGCACTAGTTATATATGCAGTTGTTATATATGCAATAGTTATATATGCAGTTGTTATACGAGGGATGATCAAAAATAAACCGGACTTTGTAAATGATTCTTAACTTGTTTAATGAATTTACATAACAATGCACGGAAAATAAATCGGAATCTATCCCCTAAATGATACAAAAAATACCAACAAGAAATATTAACAAAGAAAAAAGTTATGCTGTTATTGGCATGCATATGTAAAGCCATGCGGCGCACGGTATAACTTTAAAATTGACGTTAACGACGTCACAAGCGTATTGTCCTTAACGGAGCAGATTTTTACTCATTCACGGAGTAGGCCAATATGTGGTACAGTCATGTTATTGATGCGGCGGATCCCCTGCCTATATATATTTCTGTACAAGTGGGTATCATATTGTATTGTAATAGAATGAATGGTGATAAAGAACTCCTGTAATGACGCAAACTTCCGTTATTTCCTTCTGTAACTTGATTGCTGGAAAAATCGCACATGCATATAAGTATATTATGTTTTTCAAACAATGTAAAATAATGTTGCTGAATGATAATGTATCATACATACGAAAAAATAACAGAATAATACAATGTCATTATTTTGAAATAAATAAAACGCATAGCCAATTTGAACAGTGGCTGTTAAATTGTAGACACAATTTCTCCATAAGACTACTGCGTAAAATAAGAAAATAATTGATACAATTATAAACCAAGAATACAATACATGTAATTAATGCATTAACTATTATCATTTTAAGATCCTCAGAGTTGACTGCACGGTCCCGTAGTTACTGTCGAACATCGTTGACAATGTCCGCAGTCAATCGATTGTCATTTTTCAACGTCTTGGTGATTGACGTCACCAACGTCCTTGAAAATGTCTTTTTTCTGTCTCTCCCTTACTTGTTTCTATTTCTCTATTATCCTTTCTTAATCTTTTAAGATAATAAAAAAAATATGCTGTGGCTTTCTGGAACTTTTCCCTTGATAGCCATAATCTTTTTCTACGTTTTAAACAGTTTCTCGTCTTACATTTGACAAATTTTTCCTATTGATCGATTTTCGAGACATTCCGACGACATAGTTTTAACGCGAGTATTTCATTAACATGTGACGTTTGAATTGTGATTGTAAATATAAATATGGTTTAAATGAAGTCATTTTTACTGACAACGTCAAAGATATGGTACATGACGTTTTGGCGAATTTTGAAATCTAAATGTGCCATATTGTAAAATACACGCAGCATAAAGCGCCTCATGTCAAGGCGAATTTACGCACTGCGCCGGGTGTGCGTTACCATGGTTTTTGAATTTGCTGTTACGGACAAGCTATTTGCGTTATCAGATTAAATATAGTATCCGTTTACAGGTATTGTTTTCCGATTAAGTGTGATATATAACAATAAGGGATAGGATGAAAATTCTTCAATTGCCAGTCACAGTCCAGTTTATTTTTGATCATCCCTCGTATATATATATACACTAGTTATATATGCAGTTGTTATATATGCACTAGTTATATATACACATGTGATATATGCACATTATATATGCACTTGTTATATATTGATACATACATTGTTTATTTTATTGAACTAGGTATAACTGGTGATGTGAAGCTAGATGGAAGTGTAATTTCTAACTGGAGAATATATCCTATGGAGTTTAAAGAAGATTATGTTAATAGGTAATTATACGAAAGCTTATTAAGCTTCAGGCTTTTTATCACAATTGAGTTAAAGTAAATATGTTTAAACAAATTATACAATAGGTAAGTCTAATAACTGTTTCTGTGTGGTCTTTGATTCTAAATTTTGTCATAAATCATGGAACAGAGCATCAGATTTATAACGAAGGAGTCGCTGGTTTGATACTCGGGCAAGGCGTATTTTCTCTAGGACAATTTATCTTGCACATTAATTCTAACAGTAACTTGTCATTCACTGCTTATTCAAAAACTGTGCGAGATTTGTAGATGGTCACTTGTGGAGAAAATAGTGTGTACTGGTCAGTTACTCAGGAAAGTCGGTTAGGTGGATTAACTGCCAAGATGAGACCAAACATTTTCGTTAAATAGATGTAAAAACCAGATAAACAAACAAACAATTTGATGGTTTTGCCACAAGTTCTGATTGAAGGTTTGATATTATTAGAGAGAGAGAGAGAGAGTTTCATATAAATAACAGTGCTAACAGAAGAAGTTCATCTGATCCCTCATTATGTCAGATGTTTTTGTTAAGTATAGATATTATCTTGAATATTATTTTCAGATTTATTATAATCAAAGACTTACATTTTATAAACTACCTTTAATGTAGTGATCATGTTTTATTGTTAGTATGGCTGACAATCATAAGTGGAAGACATTTACAAACTGGGATGGTGGAGTAGCCTCCCTTTACACTGCCAATCTGAGGATAGATGCTACGCCCAGAGATACTTTCCTTAATATGAAGGTTGGTTGATTTTTTCATTGAAACTTCCTGCAATAAAATGATCTTGAAACATATTTCTACTGGATTTGTATCCTGTAAGTGTCAAGGACTTTGAATTCATTCATGCAGGGAAGCTATCTGGCAGGCTCACAGACGGTTGATGGACAATAGTTTGAGACAGGTGCAACAATGTGCCTGACCTGATACACAGAAGAGTTCTTCCCCTCCACCAGTAAAACTAGCAAGTGTCCATTTGACCTTTACAGTATCTGTGTGAATTAGATTGGCCTGATGAATATCTTTCCACCATCATTATTGATTCATTTTCACATCTTATAGTTAATGTAAAGCTATATGAAAAAAAGCTAGTTCATTCTTTGAAGAGTTTTTTCAAGACTAAATGCTAGATAACCAATGAGGACAAAAAAGAGAAAAGTACTATTTGTCTGATCTATTTACTTTATCAAGAAATACTTCTGGTGAAAATGCTTTGCCTGTTAGATCATTGAATTAACTCTATACACCATTATCAATGTGCAGGTGTAGAAAAAAGCTAACTTTTCATCACTGACTGTGTATTAATGATGTTTTACTATATATTTTTTTGTGTGCCTATTTTCCATGTTTGAATATTTGTCCACATACCTGTAGTTACTTGTATTTTATATTATTTGAGAAGTAACTTTTTGTATACATTATAACAGGGTTGGACAAAGGGTAATGCATTTATCAATGGCTTTAACCTGGGTAGATACTGGAAAGAGGGTCCACAGAGAACGCTTTATGTTCCAGCTCCTGTTCTTAAAACTGGAAATAATAAGGTCAGTATTTAATATCTGTTCATTAATTTATTAAGTTATAACATGTTAGTTGGCTTCCCACTTGGGAATTGGTCAATATAACGGGTCACTTAAGGTCTTCCCCACCATTTTAGTCTGAAAAATTTCCATATCACCTTTACAGCATTGATTTGACTTGAAATCTCAACCAAAAGAGAAAAAAGGAGAGAAAATATTAAGATAAAATAGATAGAGAATAATTGTTTGATTGCATGTAAAATCGAAATATATTTCACAGAATGAACACTAGGTGTAAAATTGTCTTAAGGCTGGCGTAGTCACAAGTGAAAGTATAAGAGCTGGTGTTTACAAGTGAAATATAATTTGATTTTTAATTCAAAACAAACAAATTTTCTATTTATTTCATGCTATACATTTTTACTGATTTTTGCCGCGTAATGACATGTGCTTAAATCATCAAAGGCCGAGGTGATTATCAAATAACCAAGGTCCGTAGACTTGGATAGTCACCAAATTCTTAATACAATAACTGTTTTATTATATGATCAAATTAAATTCTTCATTAACCAGGTTTTCCAAGGAAAAAACTGGTTATTAGATTGAGGTATGTTGGCGGACGGGTGGGCGGGCATAAACAATTTCATCTGTGTGCAACTCCTCCTACATTTCTCTACGGATTTTGACCAAACTTTCATAGAAGCTTTGTCATCAAGTGCCCTGGCGCATATTGTCGGGGTTTTGTGATTGGATAATATTTTACCTAATTATGGCCCTTTATTTTTTTTCCTAATATAGAATATATAGTGAACAATTTCTTCTGTGTGCAACTCCTCCTACATTTCTCAAAGGATTTTGATCAAATTTTCACAGAAGCTTTGTCATCAAGTGCCCTTGTGCATATTGTCGGGGTTTTGTGATTGGATAATATTTGACCTAATTATGGCCCTTTGTTTTTTTTTTCCTTATATAGAATATAATTATAGTAAACAATTTCATCTGTGCGCAACTCCTACATTTCTCAAGGGACTTTGTTCAAACTTCCACAAAGCTTTGTCATCACATGCCCTGATGCATTTTGTAGGGGTTTTGTGATAAGATAATTTTTGACCTAATAATGGCCCTTTGTTTTTAAGCTCACCTGTCAGAAAGTGACATGGTGAGCTATTGTGATCGCTTTTCGTCCGGCGTCCATCTGTCCGTAAACTATTACTTTAAACGACATCTCCTCATAAACCGCTAAGTCAATTTCATCCAAACTCCACAGGAATGTTCCTTAGGTAGTCAATTTAGAAAATTGTTCAAAGAATTTAATTCCAAGCAGAACTCTGGTTGCCATGGCAACAGAAAGAAAAAACTTAAAATATCTTCTTTCAGAAAACTGCAAGAGCTAGAGCTTAAATATTTGGCATGAAACATCATCTAGTCAGTGTCTACCAAGTTTGTTCAAATAAATGCCCTGGGGTCAAAATTGGCCCCGCCCCGGGGGTCATTGATTTTCCTTATTTGTATATAGTAAAAACTTAAAAAATCTTCTTTTAAAAACCCCAAATAGCTAGAGCTTAGATATTAAGCATGAAACATCTTCTAGTGGGTGTCTACCAAGTTTGTTCAAATAAAAGCCATGGGGTTAAATTTGACCCAGTCCCAGGGGGTCATTGTTTTTCCTTATTTATATATAGTAAAAACTTAAAAAATCTTCTTTTAAAAAACCCTAAGAGCTAGAGCTAAGATATTTAGCATGAAACATCTTCTAATGGGTGTCTACCATTTTTGTTCAAATAAGGGCCCTTGGGTTAAAATTGGCCCCGCCCCGGGGATCATTGATTTTCCTTATAATTATGTTTAAGTAAAAACTTAAAAAAATCTTATTTTAAAAACCCAAAGAGCTAGAATTTAGATATTAAGCATGAGTGAGTGACTACCAAGTTTGTTCAAATAAAAGTCCTGGGGACAAAATTGGGGTTTTGCTTTTCCCTATATGTGTATAGTAAAAACTTTAAAAAAAATCTTCTTACAGCTAGAGCTAAGATATTTATCATGAAACATCTTCAAATGGGTGTCTACCAAGTTTGTTCAAATAAAAGCCCCTGGGTTAAAATTGGCCCCGCCCCGGGGGCCTATATACATGTGAGCGATTTCAGGGCTATCATGGCCCTCTTGTTTCCTTATATAGTGTATGTAGTGAACAATTTCTTCTGTTGCGCAACTCCTTCTACATTTCTCAAGGGATTTGTTCAAACTTTCACAGACTAGCTTTGTCTTTAAATGCCCTGATGCATATTGTCAGGGTTTTGTGATTGGATAAGTTTTTACCAAATTATGGCCCTTTGTTTTTTCCATAAAATTTAATTATAAGTGTAATATATCCTTTTAATCACAACAAACTTTATTTAGTTACAAAACAGAAACTCTCTAGGTTGTTGCATGCCTGCCAGTTCATTTGCCTGCTTTTGGGTCCTGTTGAGTCAAGGTCAAGGTCATTGTTACTTAAAATAGAAAATCTGTTTCCAGTCAGGTCACTGTAACTAAAAATAGAAAATTGGTTTCTGGTCAATAACTAGTTTGGAATAAGATATTTTTATGAAATTTGGTGTAAAGCAAGTTTTTATAAAGACCTCACTTGGGATGGCTTTTTGGCCCCCTAGGGTCAAGGTTACAGTTACAAAAAATAGAAAATTCATTATTCATGATTTACATTGCACATAGTTACATTGTTTGTTGATTGTATTTGTATTTCAACTACAACATATTTATCTACAATGGTGATAATTGAAAAGCTGGTTTCATGGCATTGCCATGTTTCTTGTTCAAATTGTCTTCCTTTTTCGCAAAAAAATTCTAAAGCCCTAAATAAATGGACAGAAAGAGCAAAAGTTGTTTTGATTAATTTTAAAGTCCATAAAAGTTCATAAGAAAGTGTAGCAAAATGTCTTTTTAGTTTATCCTTTTTTATGTTTTTTGACTGTAAGAACATTATCAGAGTCTCAAAAAGTTTCGCATGATGTATGTTATATGTGACATTTTTTTTTTGATTGATTGACTAGTACTCTGTATACTTTAAAACAATAACAATTGGTTTCAAATAAAAGACGGTTAAATTTAGGGCACTTTTCTTTATGACTTTAGGACGTAGTTTGTTTTGAACAGTAACACCTGGTGAATATCCTTTTTTTATTGACGGTCATTTGAAATTGTTATAATATAATAAGATATAATAAGATGTATTATTTAACTTTTCAGATTGTGATATTTGAGCTACACAAGGCTTCCCATTCCATGATCTTCCAGGATGTGCATTTAACAAGCTGATATTAGTCATCTTAGTTAATTTATTTTATTTTTCTACAAATATTTGAGGGATTTTTAACTGGTGCAAATACGAAAGACTGGGAGAAAGCAAGGACTAGTTACGAGGGTAGATAGAAATCAGTGTGTAGACAGTTACGGTGAAAAATAATGATAGCTGGAAAACCTCGCAAAAATTTAACAGAATCACATTACATTCCAGATATTGTAAGCTCTGTGGGACATACTAAAAGTGTTCAACTTAGTTTGTTATACTTCGTATCATTTTTAAGTTAATTAGGAACATGTCGGATTTTTCTCCACAGCAAAAAGTCTACATTGTTAGACTCCACTGTAATCAGGTTTGACTGTAAGTTACAAAGCACATGACTGGTGTAATTGTTATGATGTAAGTTGCTAGTATTTATAGTAAAGAGAGAAGATACTTTGCGAGAGACAATTTTATGACTTTTTGGGAGAGGTGATAGTTTTTGATGATAGTATTACAAGATAACTACAGCAAGGGAGAGCATTACATAAATTGCTTGTTTTTCTTTTCTAATTTAAATCCATTGTGTGTGTGCATTCTAGCCACAATTCGCAGGCACAGTGCAAAATGATTGTAAATTTGATGAAATAAAGAACAAGATACAATTGTTTTGCACTAATCCCACAATATATAATACAGGAGCTCAGTAAACAATATAGAATACAGGAGTTCTCTACTGGAATATTTCGTAGAGTATTACTCTAAGTGCTACGTCTGTCTTCTCTTTTTTTCGAAAATTTTTGAATGTTTTTATTGAATGCTCCTCAATGTGTTTACATGTATATATATAAATATAACATATACAATAGTTTTACCTGGAGAGCTCACATTCTTTTTACTTTACTGATATTTGGTGCATATATGAAGGTGTGTAGAATTTGTGTATTTACTAATACCAAGTTATATATTTTTGTACATTCCATATTTGAAATTGAGAAGTTACTGTTAAAATGTATTGATTTGATAGACTCGCCAAAATTTTATGTATTTCAGGCGAGTTATTGTAATGATTTGGT